CCCCGAAGTTATAAAAATTCAAAAAGGTGTAACGCGTTATCCCATTCTATTCCCACATGCGTGCCCAGAATTTTTGTTTTTACGTCTAATTATACCGTTGGCGAGTTTTTTTCTTTCCCCCCCCCCCCCAAAGAATCCAGACTGCACGTCATGATGTGATGTGACAAAAAGTGTAATCCGAGCCCGTTCCACTCTACCGCGCGTACGTAAAAAAACCTGTCAAAAGTCTTCATACAACCACACCACACCACGCGGATTTCGTAATCCATACACGGAAGGAAGTTCCTCTACAGTTTTTTTTTTTTTTTTCCGGCGTAGTATGTGTGCCATTTTTTCTTTCTCTTGTAATGCTTCAGCCTCTCGCTCTAAGCCTGTAAACGATTATTTTCACCCAGATTGATTTACACTTTCCCGTTCTGGTGTCGGGCATCAAAGTCATTCTGGATCCGTGTATATCACTTGGGGGTAATGTTGTATTGGATAAAGCAACTTGGTACAACTTTATAATGTCTTGCTTCAGCAAACACCTCGCGACTCATGCAAAGAATATAGCTTCACTTCCAAATGCTTTCAATTGATCGATTCTCCCTGGGTATCTCCAAGCATCTCATAGCAATAAACACACATTTACAACATCCACCTCACGCGGCAATCTCCTTCCCCTTGCCCTTATCACTCGAATCAATTGTATCCGCCGACCCTGCAAACGCCTGCTGAATGGGCGGCCGCGGCTTGGACGCGATATCGAGTTCCGCAAACTTCGGCCGGACCTGGAATATGTTCACACGCGCGGCGTTGAAGACTTGCTCGGATGGCGGGATGGCTACGGCGAGGTTTGTGTTTTCGGTAAGGCGCGTGATGAAAAACATGAACCTGCCGGTTTTGATTTGCATTTCGGCGAAGTTGGCGCTGCCGGCGGGGATGTTGGTGTGCCGCCTGCGAAGAAATGTGTTAGCGCATGGCAGGTAGAGACAAGGGTGTAGAAGACGTACGCCATGCTCTGCTTGTGTGTCTTCAGGATACTCGATATCCGCTCAAATCGGTCTGTGAAGGGGTTTGGCTCCTCCGTCTTCCGCGTGACATGTGCCACGGTCAGACAAGTCGTCCTCTCGTACAGGATCAGTTCCCTCGCATCGATGACTTCTGCCAGCTGCTCCAAGAGCGCTTCGATAGTCCCTGCATTTGGGATGAGGTAGTATATTATCTTCGTCCATGCCTTGTACAAGCTCTGATCCCAGATGCTTGTCGCAAAGAACTCTACAGTGTCCTTGAAACCCTCTGACGCTTCTCGAATATAGTCGGCGCGCTCATCGAACATGGCTTGCCGCAGCCGCGCTTGGACGAGATCCATCTTGTGTATGAGACAGAAGACCTTGGCGCCGGGACTGCATTCGTGCAAGGCGCGTATGATGTTCGAGTACGATATGACGTCGGCGGGAAACTCGCGAGATTCAATATCGAAGACGAAGATGAGGACAGCGACGGAGCCGAAGACGTGGTTGCGGGATTGCGTGAGGTAGTTTTCAACGAAGCCATCCTGACTGCACAATGTCAACTCGGCATCAGGTCAGACAGCATGAACTGCGCGCATACCCTCCGCAGTCCCACAGATTGAGCATCAGATTCCCCATGAACTTGATGTTGCTGTGCTCCACGTCGATGGTTGCGCCCAGCCGTCGGACGTCCTTTGCAACATAGTTACTGAAGACAATACTGCGCATCGACGACTTGCCGGCGCCGCTCTTGCCCATCAGCAACACCTTGCGCTGCTTCTGCCGCTTCGTCGTCGAGTTCATCTTGGCAGCTTGTTGACGCACGCGACTCGTGGGGCAGGTACGTGTACGCCTTTGGACGACGGTGGAGACCTAGATAGACTAACGATATCTGTAGGGTTTGGAATGTGTCGTGCACCGACCGTGGGCTGAAAGCTAAGCGTCGCTCGTGTACGATGACGTATTATGAACAGTGGTGAACAGTGGTGAAGGGTCTACAGTCAGGATGCTGCCTCGGTTGTTCTCGATTGTAAAGTGCAGATAGTGGGTACTGATTAATTGCAGGCTGAAGTGTGGAAGGTTTAAGATTAGTCGTCGAGCTGCTAAAGTTACTGCCGGAAGAAGCAAGCAACGTCGTGATGGAGGAAGGCGCGCTCCGAGCCAGCACCCGCAGGAGCTTACATCTCCTTGGCCTCTGATTCGCTCGGCAAGAACACGCAGCAAACCCAACACGTGAGTCTGTAGGTCCCGAATTCTATTCAGCCTCTTCCTCTAGTGCAATGATAGCATTTGCAGGCTCTTCGCCGAATTTGAGATTGGCAAGATTAAACGTCGATAAAGCTTGGTTGTCGTTCAAGGGACATGGAAGCCTAATTGGACAGCCCAACAAGTCTCAAAAAGCACGCGAACAGGAACATGGGCTCAATCGAGAAGGTGCATGGGAATTAATCTTCGATCGCTGACTGTTGCACGATCGACGGCAATTATTATCTTTTAGTAAAGTGTTTCGAGGCCTACGCAGCCCCATGTTCCGTATATTCCCCTGTTCCAATTGTTCCGTGTAGAAAGCAAAGCAACATAGAAAACAGCTGTCGGCGCTGAAATGGACCGACTAAGACAATCGCTAACAAATGTGTCGTGTGCGAGAAAGGCAAACAAATATGAACAAGAAGCGTTCCACCACGCGTCGACCGTCGAGATCGTGCATCGTAAATAATGGCTGTCCGCCGGACGGTGAAGGGATACCGTGGTTACGGGTGGTATAACAAGACCATCGGAAATTAATATCGGTAGCGTGCGCGGCATCCGAACCGAAATGAAGCAAAAGAAGGCTGCAAGGGAAGCTCCAGGGTATCTTTTAAAAAACTGTTCCATCCGACAAGATCATGATTGGTGGCTCTTTGGTGTTGGGCCGTGACACTTCTGCGATTTCGCGGCCGCCCTGTAAACTTTGTTAGCTGCATGCCGCACGGCAGCCCAGCATGTGATTCGACTCACCTTCCAGCTCCCTGCCTCGAGCATCTGCGCCAGGTTCAATCTGTCAGAACCGCTCAGGCCAAGCATTTTATTGACGTCTACCAGCAGGTCGTCTAATAACCCAACTGTGACTGCGCGCCACTCGACAATCACATCGTCATCGGCTGTAAACATGGGCACAACTTCCATGCTTGGTTGTCCTTTGGTCTTGGCGTTATGCTCGTATTGCGCGAGTCCGCGCTTTGAATCCTCTGGCTTGAGTGTCAGAAGTCCAGTGTCGATGAAGAGTCCGCCGTTGCGATATTCTGGCAGACCGGTCAAGAGCTCTGCACCTGCAAAGTGCACGTGAAGCAGCTTTGTCATCGGGACCATGAGCGAGTACGTCAGCCATTGCGTCAGCTTGTGGAAGGGAACAATGTTTTCCCAGGGGTGGGTTGGATGCGATGGCATGACGGAGCACGGCCAAGCGTCGCCGATTGGGAAGCCGTCGATTTGGGTCCGAGAGGCTGGCCAGATGGGGGTCAGACTGTCCATGAGCGTGTTCCAGAGCGTGGGCAGGGGAATGATGGGGACCGATGATGCCTGGGTTGTTGGGTGCGAAAGTAGATAGTCTGGAGGCGTTAGTCAACGGCCATAGTTGAAGTGCCACAACATTTACCAAGCATGTTTCCTGGACGCGCCTCAAGTCCAAAGATTTCCTGGTTCCGCAGAGCTTCCGAGAGTCTCAAGAGAAGGGTGGTGCGACCCTCGAGGCCATCAAGGGGGTTGCTGTCAGTGACCTGCAGACCGCGGGCCATGATGGCGACGTCCAGCTTGGCGAGGCCAGCGCTGTCAACCTGGCACGGCTCTCTGGGGTCGCTGCTGAAGACGCCGGCCTTGAACATCTCAAGACTGGCGACGGCGAGGCCTTCACTGCGGCGGTAGATCCTGCCCGACTCTTTGCTCTTGTACTGCCACTTTGTGCCGGCGCCTGCGTCGAGAAGCACCGAGACCAGGAACAGATCGAGCAGGCGGCGCGTGCGTTCCTGATTGTCCACGGTGGAGGGCCACGACGCCATCAGCTGGTCGATGCGCGGGCGGCCACCCACATCAAAGTGCTGCCAGCGGCCGTGGGGTGGGATGGAGGCGTAGTCGGGCGCATAGTCTCGCTGTGACACCCGTCAGCTGCACGTAAGTCGCTCCTTCCTCTTGCAATTCCTACCTTGATGATCGACACTACAAAACTGGCTACATCGTGGAACTTGGTCATGTCGACGGTAAAGTGTTTGAGCTGGTTCTTTTTGGCCTTTTCGAGGACCAGCTTGGAGCGCTCACGCACGGCATAGATGCTGCGCAGGTAGCCGGCAGGGTCCAGCGCTGGGTCGGGTGCCTTGGGGAGAGGCACGTCTGGGAAGCTCGTGGGCCTGGAGCCGTTGGGTGTGGGGCCAGGGGAGCGCAGAGAGCCATTGGACGAGTTCGGCTGGCTGCCGTTGGGGGAGACGATGGGCTTGGAGCGCCTTGCGGCCGAAGAGTCTCATGATGGCGGCGGCGACAGCAGAGAGCGTGAGGTTTGCAGGCGGAAGGTGCGGTCGAGGAGGAGCTCCTGCAGCAGTTTGGGGATCTTTGGGAAGGCACGGCCGGCGTCGAGGGCGGCGTTCAAAGAATCCACATTTGATTCCAGTTCGAACGAGCCCGAGCCCGAGGAAGCTAGCGCGCGGTTCGCGTAGGGGTGCATGGGCTCGAGCGGCGGCTGGGAGATCCTTGGACAAAGAAACGCCAAACTCCATCACACGTGCCATCGCTGCATCGCTGCATCACGCATCAGTGCCAGCTCGTGCTCTTGCTGCCTTGCTGCCTTGCTGCCTGCCACAGCCAGCCCAGGGTCCGCGCCGAGGAGATCATATACACTAGTCGGCCTCGTATATAGGCTTGTGCTGGACCGCGATGCTGACGCTGACATGGTCTCAATGGCCGTCTTCAGTCGGACGGTTGTCTGTCTCGCAGCCCTTCCGTCAAACAGCGCGCGAATCTACGCCATATCTTGATTGACTCCACATTCCGCACCAAGTGCATTTGACAAGCCTTCACCCTGAGCCACCCGGCTTCAGACGAAGGGCCACCAGGTCGCTTCCAGCAACCTGCATGCGACATGCGACATGCCACATGCCACATGCGACCCTCGACCCTCGACCGTTTGGTTGCACACTGCACGATCCTCCAACCCTGTCTGCTCGAGCATCGCGCTGCAGGGTCTCGCTTCTCGTCCTTCTGTGCGACTTTCAACCGTCGGAGCATCGTCCCTTTTTCTATAAAGTTCACGCGACTTGTGCACTTGCTCCGCTCTCCGTGCCCATCGCTTTTTCGGGGGTCCCAGAATCGTCTCCTTGCGGCTAAGCTCCAATACTCGGCCCTACTCCCGCGCATAACCACGCCGCGAGCTGCATTACTCACGAAACGCTATCTCTCTTGACGTTCCAATTCCAACACCTGGCGACTCGGCTCACAGAATCTTGCGCCATCACACCATTGACATGCACTGTTGCAGTCGCCTCCACGCGACAGCGGCTGACAGGTTTCACGCACGCAGGGAGCATCATCGGTCAGAGGTAACGGGGTACTGACGGGATGCGATTCAACCAAGCACACAGAACCGCGGCCATGGGTCGCGGGTTGGCGGGTCGGCAAATCCGTCTGGCCGAGCATCTGAGCGTCCGAAGCTGCAAGTTTTGACGAAAGCTGGGATCAAGAGGCCCGTTCGTTCCCTGTATCAATCCAGGTACCAATACCTACCAACTGCAACAAAGACTTGAAAAGAGCCTCAGTTCCAATCTTTTCTTACGCGTAAATCTGCGCCTGCAAGCTCTGCCGCTTCCAGCGGCATATTCGAATACTACTCTTCGGGCCGAGTCATGCTACGGTACGCGGAACCTGAGCCCCCATTTGGAGCCATGGCCCATGGAGAAAAGCCCTGTCAGGGGTCACACAGCAGTCGGGAGCCGCCGCCCACACCAGGCCGTGCTTCCTCTCCGCGGTCGTGGTCGTGGATCGATTGCACCCACTGACCATATCTTAACTCGAGGGCCACGAGTAAGAGCCTGGTCTGGCCGCCACAGATCATCGTGATCACCCGTTCACACGTGAGGAACCGCATTGACATTGATGTTTTTTTGCGCTGTATAACACACGCACGCGCACATTCTCCAATACTCTACGCACTCTGCGCTTATCCCAACAACATTAAATTACCCGGTCAGCAGTAACATATGGCAACGGTCTGGCCACGCAGGATGCCGTGCAGGACGAGTGGTTATGCGCCTGTCGGTATGCGATGCGGTTGTCCATTGCCGCTTCACAAGTGGTGCGCACACAGTTGAAAGGAAGCAAGATCAGCGAACGTCATTTCGGCACTTCGCGGAGCAACAACTTTTTTGCACAGATGACAAGAGTGGCATGGAGCAAAAGATTGATGCACTTTTCGTTTCATACAAATGTGCTCTTGTTGGTGGAGCAATGCAGAGGTGTGCAGGAAATTACCAACACCACTGTTCACAACCCTGGATGGTTACGGGCAAGGCAATACTCTGATGGATCCATCCTTCTGCCCAACGGCAACTCAGGCAGCGGCATGACAGGAGCCTCAGTCGGGTGTAAAGAAGGCAACTACTGCGAGACTTGCAAGGAGAGATCTGGGGGTGTTGATGGCGGGTATGGCAAGGCGAGAGAAGGTGGAGGGCGTAGAGGGGCGTGGGTTTGAATGGAGAGGATAGAAGACGTGGACACTAGTTGCTCGATGAGCTGAGGTTCTACAAGTCTGCTATACTTTGGGAAGATTGTCCGCAGGTTGAGTATTACGATGAATTTGCCAATTATGAGCCTGCCATACAAAAACTCCAACGAACCGGTCTAGCAATAATTTTTTTGATCCTGACCAAATGTTTCCGAAATCTTCAGACTGGACCCTGCATTTCGGATGGTGATGTTTGGCTCACGTGCATGAGTGGCTGTGCGTGTGGCGCACGAAGCAAGCGCGACCGACAGGCATGCATTGCGAAACCAACTGTACACCTTGCAATCATGTCATGACCTACTCGTCCACATATCGATTCTTCTCCTCCTCATACTCGACCAAACAATGGACGATCTAGCTGGCCTTGACTGGTCCCAGCCCGCCAAAAAGCCCATCAACACCCCCACGGCCTTCCCTCCATACCGCCAGAGCCCCACACCGCAACTATCTGGCCGCTCGACGCCCCTCGTTGGGCTTTCCACGCAGCAATCGGGAGCTCGAGCATCTCCTGCTGCTGCGTCCGCCTTCAAGCCGCCGTCGAAACCTGCGACCCCCGCAAACGACAGCTTCGCTGGTCTCGTGTCCATCAACAGCGGTAAAGCTGCGATCAACAACCTCTCGCTACAAGAACGACAGAAGCAAATACAGGACGAGAAGCTGAAGCAAGAAGCGGAGCGGCGGAAACAATATGACGCGACCTTTGGAGGTGCAGACTCAAGCCATTGGGACACTCTAGGCGGTGGGAAGGGCACACCAGAGCCTGCAGCATTTGGTGCGATTCGACCAGCTGCAAATGCGACCGCGAACCAGGGTTTATCAAGGACGATCAACAAGCCATTTGCGGGCTTAGATACGAGTGCTAAGCGATCTGTCCAGTCTCCACCCGCTGAAGATGACCTTCTGGCTGCCTTCAACTCGGCGGCACCAGTTGATGCGTCAAGTCACTTCCCCCCCGCTGCACATGGTAGCGGCCGAAGCACACCCGCCGTCAGTGCGAACGTTTCTCGAGGCCAAACACCGCTGCCACAGGCCACTGCGAACAATACATTCCAAGACGACGACGATGATATGTTCGGTCTCAAGCAGATGGCACAAAAATCTGCCGCGCCAGTTCCACCGCCGCAAACAAACGATGACGACGATGACATACTTGGATTGCTAGGAAAGCCTGTGTCGGAATTCGAGCAGCAACAGAAGCAGGCTCGGCAAGTCGAGGAGCGCCAACAGGCACGTCAAGAGGCACGACAACCGTCCCCACGGCCTATGAACGATCAAGATAAGGCAGTTGCCGAGCTGGTGGATATGGGCTTCCCAGCGGATAGGTCCGCGATTGCACTTGCAACAACGGAATCGGGACTTGATGTGCAAGCAGCAGTGGGTTGGCTGTTAAATCAGGCGCACGCGGAGGCGAAACAAAAGACCGAAAGCCGCAGCCAAGATCGATCACGGCGAGACCCGGAAGAGTTTGAGGACCGGCCAAGGCGCAATGATAGCAGGTCCAACACAAGACGAACTCGAGAGACTGAGGCTGTGCCGGCGTGGATGAAGGGCGAGGAAGGACGGAGTCGATCCGGACAGCGCAAAAGAGAGGAGGGCGGTCAGGAAAAGGATGTCACTCAAATGGCTTCTGAGATCGGTACCAGTCTGTTCAAGTCGGCAAACTCGCTATGGAAGACTGGGCGGAAACAGGTGCAGAAGGCTGTGGCAGACTTTCAACAAGATGGCGACCCAAATATGCCCAAGTGGATGCGCGATGCTCAGGCCGCAGAGAATGCACCCCAGAAATCTGGCAAGCAAAGAGCTGCAGCAAATGCTACTGACGAAGCAATGATGCTAGAGGCGGGTGGACGACCCTCCAAGCCGTCTCGATCTAACGAATCGAGGCATGTAGACGATCTACCGGTGCGGCAAAGAAGAGAACCAGAAGGAGGGCGAGACGTTTTCTCAGATCGCATGTCCTCGCGGTCTCCAGCTCCGCGGCAACAGACGCCCAGTCTCGACAAGCGGCCAGCGACGCGATTGACCAGACAAGAGGTAGAAGAGCAGGGTGCGCAAGCATATATAAGCCCTGCTAGAAGAAAGAAGGCTACTCCACAACCGCCGATAGATCTGTTCGCGCCTGAGCCTACACCGTCAGCGCAAACCTCACGGCAAGCTACACCCGCCCAGTCGAACAACCCTTTCTTGCAAGCAACTTCAGCCCCCAAACCAAAAATACCTGCAAGAACACCATCACCTCCCAGACCGAAAGCTGCCCCGCGTAGAATACCGCCCGTCTCTTCCTCCGCGCTCAATTCCTCCGCATCCGATCGTCAAAAAGGCTCCGAAGCATTCAAGCGCGGCGACTACACGGCTGCGCACGCTGCGTACTCGTCTGCACTTAGTCCTCTTCCCCAATCGCATCCAGTCACAATCGTCGTGCTCTGCAATCGTGCCGTCACCAACATCAAGGTTGGTGACCCAAAGGCTGCTATTGCGGATGCCGATGCAGCCTTATCTATAATCGGCATATCGCGGGGAGAAGGCGAGAAGATTGCTACAGGCGGTGTGGAAGGCGAGAAAGACATGAAAGAGTTCTATGGGAAAGCCTTGATGCGCAAAGCCGAAGCGCTCGAGAACATGGAGAAATGGGGCGATGCTCACAAAGTATGGAAAGAAGCAGTGCAGAACGGCGTTGGTGGTGCCATCAGCATCTCAGGTCGCAATCGCTGCGAAAAGGCTGCAAGTGGTGGGAACAAGTCCGCCCCTGCGGCTCGCCCGGCACCTGCTCGCAAACCCGCACCAAGGCCATCTGCAATGTCCGATCTTGGTGGTGGGGCTGCGAAGGACTCCGAAGCTGTGAAGCGCATGAAAGCAGCCAATGCTGCAGCCGAGAAAGCAGATGACGAGAAGTTTGCGCTCACGGACCAGGTGGACGCAAAACTCATCTCATGGAAAGGCACAAAGTCAGACAACTTGCGGGCACTGCTTGGATCGTTGGACAAAGTTCTCTGGCCCGAGGCGGGGTGGAAGAAAGTCAACATGGGCGATTTGGTCATGCCGAACAAAGTCAAGATCGTCTACATGAAGGCGATTGCAAAGGTGCATCCTGACAAGGTACGTCAATGTCTTTACTTTAAGTGGTACTAGCGCTGACCATGTTGCTAGATCTCACAAGCAGCGACAATCGAGCAGAAGATGATCAGTGCAGCCGTCTTTGCGACACTCAACGAAGCTTGGGATAAGTTCAAGACGGACAACAACTTGTAGTCATTCTATCTTTACGGCGATGTATACGATCTGGGAAGTACGACCACTTGAACATGTAGCATGGACAAACAATATTATTATCAAAAACCTCTCATGCCGTGATGTTTCCCGACTTGCGCTAGTGCGGCTGAATGCAAAGCCTGGTTCCTGGCAGATCCCTGTTGTACCCCGGATTTCTCGGGCTCGGCATTATGTAACCAGCCTCTGGAACTTTTCACCTGTGCAGTCATCGCTTTTCATTTCATTCTTAACGGCTGACATTGTTACCGTCGGAATAACTTCTAGCTTTTTGATCGGACGCCCTTCGCTCGCGTCTGTTGTTGTCGTCGCTGTTCTGTCATCTCCGATCTAACACGCTCTTTGTGCGCACGCGGTCAAGTCGCCGAAAAAATACCAGCGCATACGTCATATCACGAGTACTTGAATTGTACGCGCAGCGGGAGCAAGACAGACGTAGCTCAATTACTCTCGTGTCGCTCACCGGAGCGCGTCGGTAGTAGAAGGGAAGGATCAATTGGACTACTACATCGTCGCGAAGATGTTCCCGCCATCACAGGGCTTGCGTCTTGACATTGATGCCATCAGTCAGATCTTTGGATCGATCAGTATCGCTTGTTGGATAGGTACGCCCTCTTCGTGTCTTGTACCACTGGTGCATGAAGTTCACGTTGCACGGAGCTAATACGCATTCTAGTCGTGTTCTCGCCCCAGATCATTGAGAACTGGAAGAGAAGCTCAGCAGATGGCTTATCAGTCGTCTTCATCGTAATATGGCTGGCTGGTGACTTCTTCAATATCATTGGTGCGGTCTTGCAAGGTGTGCTGCCGACTATGATTATCTTGGCTGTATACTACACCTTTGCCGATATTGTGCTGCTTCTCCAATGCTTTTGGTACAAGGGCTTCACACTGCGAGACGACTACAAGAAGCCCGGAGACGACTCAGACAGCACGACAACGTCAGCTTCAGAGCAGTCACCGCTCCTCTCAGCTCAACAGCAACCGTCAAACGGATCACACGCCAATGGCAACGGTAACGGATATGGATTCGACATTGCCCCACCTAGAATCTCCGACATCGACAGACGCTATTCGTCAAACTCCCAAGGCTCATTCCGCGAACGCTTCCTCTCGATCGACGGCACGCATCTCTCGCCCGTCACGCCACTGCACAACGACCCAGCCCAGACCGCTACCCCACCGCGCCCGCAGCCCGCTCAATCCACCTTGCAAACAGTCCTCTTCAATCTCGGCACCATCCTCCTCGTCATTGCCGCTGGCATCTTCGGCTGGTATCTCAGCGCCTCGCGCGCCCCACCGCCACATCACAGCCACACGCCCTCGTCCGAATCCACCCTGCACTTCAACCTCTGGGGCCAGATCTCCGGCTACGTGTGCGCGCTGCTGTACCTCGGCTCGCGTGTGCCCCAACTCCTACTCAATTACCGCCGCAAATCCACCGATGGCATCAGCATGCTGTTCTTCCTGTTTGCCTGCCTGGGCAACCTCACGTACGTGCTGAGTATCCTCGTGTACAAGCCGCGGTGTGCCGGACACCATGGGGCATGTGCGGACGGCGAGGCCAGGCGCGTGTATGGGAAGTATGTGGCGGTGAACTTTAGCTGGCTGTTGGGAAGTTTCGGCACGTTGGTTTTGGATGCGTGTGTGTTTGTGCAGTATTTTATGTATAGGAGGGATGAGGAGAGTGATGGGGAGGATGAGTAGGGGTCAGGGATGGGAAGTGTTTGTTACGTCGTGTTATGGAAAAAGGTGGAGTTTTGGAAAAGCGCTTCGTTTGGTATGAGGATCTTGGGGGTTCGGTGAAGCGTTTGCTGGGCAGGATGGCGCTTCGGATGCTTATATGCTCGTTTGCTTGATGCCCAATATGTCCCATATATGCTTCATCTTCGCGTCCTCCCTTCTGCTCACGTTCAAAACTCTCACCTTCTACCTTCCATTCCAACATCTCATCCATCTCCATCACCATGCCCGCATCCACCCCCTCCCAATCCACCGCATTACACATCCTCGTGCACAAAGCCGAATCCCTAATCACCCTCTACCCCCAACGCTTCTCCTCCATCGAAGCCGCCAAAGCCTTCATTTCTGACCTCTGTAACCTCGACCTCGCCACCCCGCTCGACAACAAAGTAGCCTTCCTCGTCGCCATCCACGCCTTCGAGAACGGCGAATTCTACCTCGACACGCCACCCCCCTCCCGCCAAGTCCTGCGAAGTAGTCTCCCTCGCTCTCTCCTCTTTGTCGTTGAGACTGACAGCGGCGTACAGATGCCATAGAATCCGCCATCTGCACGCTCCTCGCACAAATCCGCACCTGGCCATGCGCACTGACGTCCGTGGCCCACGCGCAATCCTTCCTCACCGCGACGTGTCCCCGCATCCATGACCTGACGTTCGCCGGCCTGCCCGATGAGAAATTCCAGCGCTACGTGTCCTTCAACACTGCGCGCCGCGCGTGGGAGATGCGTGCTTTTGACCTCCACTTCACCCCCGACACGTGGAAGCGTGCACCCCTGCCCCTGCCCCCGCCGAGTTTGTCGGCCGCCATACAGCGGGATATCGACCGCTTGACGCTGCTGCTGCCGCCCTGGCCAAGGCACTTCTCAGACCTGAATGCTGCGCGCGATTGGGTTAGGGGTGTGGCTGAGAAGAGGCGGTTCAGGTATACGGGGTGGGAGGGCGTGGAGGGGATGAGGTACCGGTGTTTTGTGCAGTTTAATTTAGCGAGGGGAGAGTGTGGACGGGGAGTGTTTGGGGTTGACGAGGGAGGGGAGAGAGTGAGGAGGGGTGGAGGTTTGAGGAAAGATGGTGGGAGGGGAGATGAGGAAGAGAGAGCGGACAGGGCGAGGACTGCGGGTGTCAGGCCGGTTTTAAAGAAGCTTGATGATGGCCGAGGTGTGGTCGATGAAGAGAAGGTCGAGCAAGAGCAGGTCCAGCGGTTCAACGTTAGCACTGCGTCGTATGGACAGAGTTTCCGGGAGTTCAAGAGTCGGGCTGTGGTTGTTGTCGATGCTGATGAGGATGAGGAGAACGAACCGCCGCTGAGTCCGGCGGATTCCATGGAGCCGCTTGCTACGATCGAGGAGGTCGACGAGGATGTTGAGGAAGAACATGAGGTTGTTGAAGCGGGCGAGGAAGAGAAGCCGGATCCTTTCGCGGTATGTCGATCTGCAACCTAGCAGGACTTTAACTGACTTGTTTGCATAGGCTCTCGTTGCTGATCTTCGGCGTGAGTTCATTCTCAAGGCTGCTTTCGACTAGGCGAGTTGGTGGGCTGGATGACGGGGAGAAAAGTTTTGTGTTTTTTGGACCGTTACTGCGTGTCTTGTGGAGTTTGTATTGGAAACTTGTTGTCTTTGATTTCTCTTTGGAGTATGTTTTGCTGTCTGCGAACTTGGTCATTCCAAGCCTCTTCAACTCGGAGGCAAAACGGACTGTCATCAACCAGTCTCTGAAACGATTCATTCGATATACACTTCCGTACAATATCCAAAACCTCAACTCCCCCCTCACACCTACATGCCATGAAATCATCCAGACTTCTTCTCCTTCTCCGCCTTCATCCTCCTAACCTCTGTCTCAATCCCCCTCTCCACCTCTCCCTGCAACTGCTTATAAAACCCCATCTTGAAGAGCACCTCATACCACACAAACAACGGCGCCAAAAACAGCGCCTGCACAAGATTGTCCAGCAGCGCAGGCTTCCTGCCCTCAAACTTCCCATGCCCTACAAACTGCGCTATCCAACTAACCCCATGGACCGCGATGGCGATTGTGTTCACACGCGTGGTGTTGAACTTGCCAAGCAGCTTGTTGGCGAGTGCTGCAGCGCCAAGGATTATGGGCGTGGTAGTGGCGCCAGCGATGTTGGGGGAGAGCAAGAGGTAGAGGGTTGAGTAGGTGAAGGCCGCGAGGGTGCCGAGGTTGAGGGGGAGATTTAGGCGGGTGAGGAGGGCGGGGGCGCGGATGGGGAGGGTGGGTGTGTTGGAGCCCTGGGGGTTTGTTAGATACGGTAGAAGGAGTGTTTGTAGAGGTGGAGCAGACGTACGAAGACGAAGCCGGTGGCTAGGAGGACGGGGACGCAGGCGATGTGGATCGCGACATTTGTGGGGTCGCGGTGGTATGCGCCATACTGCACTTTGTTAGCTGGTGATATAAGAGCGATGATGACGATTGCGTACAAAGACGAGGTTCTTCTTCAGGTCGAAGAGTGGCATTTTGAATCGCTGTGTTGTCGTGGACTGGATGAGTGAAGGTGAGATGCGACGCGGGGTCCTCCACACTCAAGATATGGATGGATCCTTCAGCCCCAGCACATCTTACGCACAAGCATATCTCTGGCTTCAATTGGCTGTTTACTCGGATCACACCACCGGTTTCCGCGACGCTTGGCCGTCCGAACGGTGCTCGCTTCGTGCGAGGATATCGTACCGAGGCATGTGGAACGCGGTTGCTGATTGGAGATGCGACATCTGAACGCCGCGTTGATCCGCAGTGGAGAGAGAACCACGCGCTAGATCGTGGGCTATGTGGGGAAGGCACGGTAGCGCGGCGTTTCTATCTGGACGTCGTCCGATTCCAATTCAGCAATTCCATCCTGCGTTAATAAATATTCCATCTGATGGCGAATCACGTCATAGGTGGAGAATGTCAAGGGAGTATGAAGGTTCATTGATCTAGGAAAAGCATGGGCTGCGGAGACGAACTTCGCGCAGCTGCTAATCTAAAAGCATAATCTGGACTGAGCTATGCCCTTCAAACATCTGAACCTACTAATCTAACCACCCATATCAAGAATCGAGAATGTTCGCCATCTAGACGTGCTTCTCTCCAACAGGATGAACCACCACCGGACCGTCGTCGAGCTTGTACAGAATAGGTTTCGGGAGACCCTTCTTGCGCATGATGTACGTGTTGATCCACCACGGCAAGTTCTGCGACACCTGGTAGCGCATGTGAGTGCGCGTCGGGACGCTGAAGATGAAGTCCAGCTCCTCTAGCGTCCGCTGCTTGGTCTCCGGCAGCCAAAGGAAGATCATGATCAGAGCGATGATGTTCAGACCAGCGTAGAAGCCGAACACGCCCTGCGGCATGAACGCCCTGAGCATGCGGGGAAGCGTGAGCGATAAGACGGCGGCCCAGAAGTTGTTGGTTGCGACGGCCCAGGACATGCCCACTTCGCGATGGGAAAGCGGGAAGACTTCAGCCGAGTACGTGAAGGGGACTGGACCTTCGCCTGGGGAGTAGAAAGCGCCGAAAAGGTAGATGAAGAAAGCGATCAGAGGGAGATGTGCAGAGCTATCCTTGGGGATGTAGTAGCACATGCCTGCGGCGAGCAACGTCCAGAACATGTTCGGGAACGTAGAGAGCAAGAGGCCGCGGCGACCAAATGTATCGATGGTCCAGATAGCAGGGAAGGCGAAGATGAAGTTGACCAATCCGAAGCCGAAAGAGGCGATTAGTGCTGTCTTCTCTGAAGCGCCACCCTCCTTGAAGATTGTGCTGCTGTAGAAGGCGATAATGTTGATACCGCACATCTGTTGGCTTATCATGACCACAAAGGACGCTAGGGTAGCACGACGGATACGTGGAATCGTGAACAGCTCGATGAATCGGGTGAAGAGGTTGCTCTTGGGGCTGAGACCGGCCTGACTAACCAGAACGTCTTCCTGGGCGAGAAGAGCATGGGTGTAGTACAAGTCTCGGGCGGCCTGGAAGGGAGTGTTGCGCAGCTTCAAGAACGACTGGTAGGCCTTGGCATACCGACGCTTCTTCATCAGCCATCGAGGAGACTCCGGTACGAACGCAATCCCGAGACAGAGCGGGATGGCTGGGATGAACGCGGATCCGAGTTGAAGACGCCAGGCGATGGCGCCAGTGTTCATGACGCAAAGATTAGCCACGAAACCAAGGAAGATGCCAAAAGCCGTCCAGACCTGCCAGCTCATGACGAGACCGCCACGCACGCTAGCTGGACACACTTCAGCGGAGAAGACGGGAACTGTGACTTCCTTGAGACCCATGCCAACACCAAGCAGGAGACGACAGACGACGAGCTGAGGCCAGCTCTGCGAGAAGCCCGACCCAAGCGGCGCGAGCAGTGAGAAAATAGCAGCGATGAAAATAGTCCACTTGCGGCCGATCAGGTCGTTAATCGGATCCGAGATCCAAGCCGTGAGCAAAGCGATCGCAATGTACGGACAAGAATTCACAAATCCAATGATCCAGCTGTTCTTCTCGCAGGTGCCGAGCGCAGTACATGTAGCGCCGGAGTCTGGAATACCAAATGCCTGGCCGAAAGTCAAGTTGGCGCCGTTGGAACCCGTCTGGTCCCAGCCCTGGATAGCAGCGGCGACCGAGTTCAGAATGATGGTGAAGTACAACATGCGCGGCAGCTTGAAGCGGTGGGTGACTTCTTCGCGGATGGCCTGGCGGTCGCCGGCATCGAGTTCTTCAATTTCCTCGTACAGAGTGGGAGACTGCGCGAAGAGGGCGCCCTTGATCAGGAGCGGTTCGATGTCTTGCAGGCCGTGCTCGACGGCGAAGCTGTGGACATCAGCGAGTAGTTGGGCCTTTGAGACGGTGGCGAGAGGATTGCGGATTCTGTTTGTGTCAGTGTCTTGGTCGGAAATGCTCGGGACAGTGCTGTTGACGTACTCTCCATCGAGGTTGGCCGTCAATTGGCTGGCGTTGGTTGGATGCTTGTGCTCATCGGAGGAGAGAGACCCGCGGTTCTCGATGTGCGCGGTGGTGGATTCGCTATTGAAACGTCAGTGGGTTTGCTAGGTGGATTATGATCCAACACAACTCACATGCCGTTAGTCTTGTCCGTCATGATCACGGAGTTGGTACCAAGAGCGAAGGTTGAAAGTTGTGACTTGAAGGTGAGCAAGAAAACTTTGAATAGCCCGTGGCCGGGAGAGTTTAAGTATCCGTGAGGGAAATCTCGCGCGATGTCGGGCTAGCCGTTTGCACAAGGCAGAACTGGCAGTGACAGGTTAGGATATCACTGTTTCACAGCCCGAATGCGCTGCATCAAAGCATCTTGCCTTGTTCGAATATCACGCGCGAGGTCATACAGACCAATGAGAGGAAAGACTACTAGAAGGATGATCTTACACAGCGGCCTATCCCGAAGCGTCACCGTGCTTTCATCACCAGTGTTGCCATTCACTCTATCAGAGCTTGTTAGCGTGGCTCAACTGGAGCTAGTGTGTGCAGTCGATCCGAGCACCAGAGAACTACAAGTTCGCGGGGTATGTGAATGGAAGTGTGGTACGAGCGTAATTAGACATAATTCAGCTTGCGCGACCACCTTGTGTTTGCCGAATCGAGCTAAAATGTTGAGCTGTTTTCAGCAGCGAATTGCCATCAACATGGCCACGTGCATGCTTCACAGAGGGTCTCAAGATTAACACATATTGGTGTTTTATCCATTACCGTCACACCACGTGTTACATACAGAGATAGACCTGCATCCTGTCTTTCATTAATGTGTATCGAATGCCGACTAATGTCTTGCTCAAAAGGATTCATTAAAAAACCCAGCTCAAGTCTGACACAGTGCGACATCACACATGCAACATTACCTAGACTCATCTTCCATGTTCTAGCCACAAGATTATGCCGTACTCTCACCGGTACCGGCTACCGTTGCACCATCAAACGGGTGTATGTGACCAGTTCAACTCAGCCTCCAGAGCAAGAGGCTACTAAGGGCACGTGGCCCAACTCTTTCCAAAACGTCATGAACAGAAGGCTTCGCGGTGATAAGCATGACAAGCTCTGGAAAAGAGAAACTACCCCGCATTCTTGCTATGCCGTCTCGGTTCTAGTGCATGGTAAGCGGGGATGTTTGGACCTGGTGTTGAGTCCTCGCACCCCGTATTGCGGTGTGGTACCAGGCTGATGGGACGATTCGGCTGGTTGCGTCATTTTTTGGTGCTGCTTTGGTGTAAGTGCTGGATTCAGCCTACTCGGTGCCGTTCACCACTGTGAAATTTGCGAGGCTGGATACTTGATCACATGAACATGGTCGACGGGCGTAGCGGTAATCTACCGGAAGCAACTCTAGTGCGTCTGTACATCACGTCGGGATTTGGACTTGGACTCGCGACTCGATTATTTCTTGCCCTTCTTCTTTGTATCGGATTCCTTGCCCTCCTTAGCAAACCCTCCTAGCAACAATGCCTCTCTGGCTGTGGTGTTGATGATGCGGAAGCGATCTGGGCCTAGATGGACGCCGCCATACCACCTTGTCACTACTACCATGACATCCCATACATCCATCAGCTGCATGAGGTGCAGCATACGCGAGCCTGCTGCTGTCTCTCCATCATCGTCGCAATCCTGGTAGCTCGTGTCGTTGGGGCCTTTAATACGCCATGCTGTCATATTATGAGTAGCTCGGGCGGCTTTCTTATCCGTGGCTAGAAGGTGGGCGACAAACTGGCTGGCTTGTGCTGGTGATGATACTGGCGCAACTCGCGCCAAGAAGACCGATTTCTTTTCAGAGAATGCTGGAGCAATGATCCATGGAGGCTCTGGTCCGAGGTCGATGGCAGGATCTGATGAGAGCTGTGATGGGTCCGTTACAGTGGGCTGTTCTTCTGCTTGGTCGTGCAACTGTATCTCTCCATGCTCTTCGGCCTTTTCCAAGGCTTCTCTTACTTCTTCGAGCAAGTCGTAGATGCATGCCTCGCCAGGCCGATAGACTTCTGCAAGAACATCTCTAACTATGTCCACTGCCCGACTGCCCATGCCCTTCGCGACATCCTGTCCCACACTTTGCGTCCCTAGCACTGATATGGGTGCGTCAGGATAGTCTGCGGGGAACTCGATGCGCAATGTTATCGACGGAAATGATGGCAATCGCAAGCTGAAAATTCTGTCATCTTCATTTATGGGTGCCAATGTGCCCTCGTCGAAAATCGAGTTTATCGAAGTGAGTTCATCCTGAATTGCGTCGTTGGACATGTTTGATGAGCACTGACCGAGGCCGTGGGGGAAGCTAATCGAGGCAGAAAGCGCGCTAGTGCTAGCGCCGCACGGAGTTCGAAAACCACATGCATTGTCGCGTCCGCGCTGCTCCACATGGTCCCCGATATCACGCCAGCACAACCGCCAACATTCGTCTTGATAGCCATGGCGCAGAACGATGCAGCCAAGCGCGCCGCGTCAATGCTGACGATAGCGCAGCTTAAGTTCAAGCAAGCGTTGAAGAAGGACGACAGCAGTGAATCACGTCTACCACCTGTTGCTATCGAGCTGAGCGCCCAGTTCTTGAGCGACCTCGATGCCGTCTTAAAGCAGAGCACGCCCGCCAACGTCCAGGTATCCGACTACACAGCCATTGATCACTTTGCCTCGGGGACAGACTAATCTCCCATCATAGAAATGTACAGCATGGATTGTCAAGCACGTAGCATCCTCCAGGATACGAGTAGCTTCACTCGGCGACTACCTGATCTCTGTGTCCAGGTCTATCATGGTCGACCAGCCAACATCGGCAGCAGTGCCAGCAGTCAAAACAGCAGCCCGCGGTCGCTTTGTGCCTTTGTTGATCATCAACGACGTGCTTCATACTGACAAATATCATCAGCGCAATACAGGCAAGACTGGTATCTTCGGCAGGGAGTCCATGTCATTTATTCCCGAGCTCATCGAACTGGCTGCCGCATACAGTCCCGAAAAGGATTCACAGGCTGAGAAGAAGCTTCGAGCACTACTCAACTACTGGGCGATCAACCAGCTACTCAGCGCAGACGATCTCAAGTCTCTCCAAGAACAAGCTGAGGAGGCGCTTCTCATCGCGCAAGGAGTTACGCCTGTTCGCAGGAGGAACTATCTTCTCCCTGAGTATCATGGTGATCGGAACGCCCCGTGGCATGAGCTGCCAGCCTCGTACATGCTCGAGCAAATGATCAAGCACCCGAACCGCCCTATCGATCCCCGCAGAATCAAGGTTGCAAAATTCGACAAGAAGCCTGTCTCCGCCCATGTACGCAAGCTGCTTGACAACTACTTCGAGAATATCGACCTCAAGTATGTGCCGACAGGCGACAACCCGAATGGCGAAACCAAGAAACACAAGCTATGGCTCGACCCCATGGGACAACTCGTCAAGCAGAACAAGGAGACTGGTGAGATCGACACGGTGTACAACGGGTACGGCTGGTCGATGAAGCTTTGCCAGGACATGCAGGAGGACGGCGTGCCTCAAACGATCAAGGTAGCTCGGGAAGAAGCACAACGCGAGGAGGATATGGAGGTCTTGCGCCCTGCACCGCAGCAGCGTCATAGCGATCGTCGTTATTCACCATCGCCACGCCGTCGATTATCTACATCGTCCGAGTCAGATTATAGGCAAGACCGAGGCGGCCGGAGTCGTCATTCATCGAGGTCATCATTCGACAGCCGCCCGGCATCTCGCTCTGAGAACCGCCCGCGATCCCGCAGCCGTCACCGCACATCATCCCGAACGGGGCGTAGAAGCTCCCCGGATCGCGGCCGCAACTATCCTGAGAGCCAGCGGGACCAACAGCGACCGCCACCTAGACCGTATAGTGGAACTTCAGCTGGCCCGGGACAGCAGTGGAACAGACCAGATGCTTCTGGCCGTGGCCAAGGCATGCCGAACAGCAGCCAGTACCCTCCTCCGCCTCCACCAGCTGGTGCCAGGGGATTCTCGCAAGCTCCACCGTTCCCTCCTGGTGCACCGCCTTTTCCTCCTCCGCCGCCCATGGCGAACCAGTATGCTGGACAGCAGTTTCCCCCGCCTCCCCCGTTCCAGCCTGGCGCATTCCCAGGTGGCATACCGCCTCCCCCTCCGCCGAATTACATTGGACCATTTCCGCCTCCACCACCCAACGTAGCAGCAATGCAGAACCAACCTTACAACTTCGGCGGTAACCAATTCGGCAACAGTGCTGGACATGGTCAGACTGGAGGCCCTGGGCAAGGTCGGGGCAACTTTCAAGGTGGTCGAGGTGGTTTCAGGGGCGGTGGATACAACAACAGGGGTGGATATGGAGGTCAACAGCGTGGCCAGCGTGGAGGATGGTGATGGGAGTTTGGAAATGACTTTTGTATAAGATACTGTGTCAAGTAGAAACCAAATGACGTGAGCACGAACGCTTGCAGTTAGAGCGCAAACATTACATGAGCTACTTGCTGCTATTGTGTGGGTCGTGATTGTCCTCGTGTGATTGTCCTCGGTGAAGTGAAGATTCGACGAGTCTCATCAGGAGGCTGGGAGGTGAGAACGTACAACTGCGATCCAAACTTTTACTTTTCAACTGCAACACTCGCGAGCTATGCGCCCGGATACCCTCAACCAACTACTATTGCTTTCGCGATTTCTCTTACCTCTCAAGCTCTCTAGGCCGAGGTGACGCGCGACGCGTGACGCACGCGACTCATTGGCTGCAGGTAAGTACCCGCGCAAACCGACTTGGACCCCATGTCTCCGCCGAGGAACTCTCGCACATGTAACCAAACGTTCTAACAATGGCTCTCGAGAACAGCGCATCCATTGTTTCCAGCGGTACCGCCGTGTAATGGCGACTTCGAAGCGCAAGCGCAGGACAACCCAGTCTAAATCGACCAAGCGACCAAAACACGTCGATAGCGAGAACGAGGCCTCACCAACGGAGGACCTCTGGGCGGCAGAGCGCATCCTCGACGAGAGACGAGTTAGAGGCAAACTGCAATACCGAATTAAATGGAAAGGCATTGATCCGGCTACTGGCGACGAATACGTCCCTAGTTGGGAGCCAAAAGAGAACCCTACACCAGATCTCGTCGCAGCGTGGGAAGAGAGGAAGAGAGCTACCACGAGCGCGAGCACAGCAGTAGGACCTGTCAGGCCAGAACCAGCTCGGAAGGCGCGAGTGATCGAAAGCAGTCCCGAGCCCTCTGCGGCGCATACCACGAGCGCCCTCTCACGCCTCACGACTCCAACCACTACTCCAACCACTACTTCCACCACTACTCCCATAGACGAAACCAATATCCGACCTTCGAGTTCAGTCACCACTCCAATTGGCATTCCAACTGCAAAGCGCCCCTCTCCTAAGATACACGTTGGACATCGCGGCGACAGCTTTGATCCAGACGAGTACGAGCCCTTCTCGCAGCTCGCAGCCACACAAAGCCTATCGTCGGCGCCAGTACATACGCAGGGGAGCGAGCTCGACAGCTCCCAGCTGTTTGCAGCGCGACCAGAATACGAATCCTCAGGTGTTGTCCCAGACTCCCAGAGCTCGGTCGGAGAGGGCAGCTTCATCCCTACCACACAGCAGACCACGGGAACAACACAGCAGAGCTCGACCTTGAACGAGTCGCAGGAAGAAGCTACAGAAGATTCAGTCCGTTTACCCGAAATACACCACGTGCTAGGGTCGTTTGCTAACAGTATCTCACAGGGCTTACTCGAGATTGTGGGACAAGTCGCAGCTTCAAGAGCACCTTCGCCGGCAAGATCTATTCCCGAGACCATCTACGACACCACTGTGGATTCGCAGAGTCAGCAGCAGCGGCGACGACTACTTTCACAAGAGCACGCTGAGATACCTGCTGCTTCTGCAGTCACGGAGAAGTCACCGAAAGCGAACAGCGACCTCGAAGGCCAGCACGAGTCGGAAGTGAGTACACATATCGAGGACCAATCGCAAGTCGATCAAACTTCACCTGAGCATCCTGCCCCGCCAAGCTCCTTCTCAGCAACTGTACAAGCCTCAGAGGCAGTTCCTTCTAAAGACAGACCCCGACCTCGACCATCTGAAGACCAGGGTCAGTACGCTGGCAGTCACGGGGAGACGACAGCTGCAACCGAATTACTCGGAGGCTCTTCTGAATTTGTTGTCGATGAGGTGGTGAAAAAGCCGAGCATTGAGCACCGCGCGAACACAGAGTATAGTCTAACCGAGGAGCGCACCCAAGTGCTCCCCACTGAAGTACAATCGACAGGCCTTGCGCTGGTGAGCGAACCTGGCGAGCCCCAACTCGAACGATCTGGTAGCCAAGACATCGCCGAGGCAAGTCCAACCGAGCATTCGGTACCTGTACTAGACGGAGCTGGCCCGTTCCCCGATCTCTCTCACGACCCACAACCCGATTCCTTCGACGTCGCGCAAGGTTCGAAGAGCCAGGTAGCACCAGCAGTCTCAGACGACACCGCTATCACCCACGTCCCATCCGTCAACGGGACAGCGTCTGCGCAAACACGCGCGATCCCAACAGAGACTAGTGCTGCGGGCCCAACTCAAGTGTCACCAAACAACGCGCCTCAAGCATCAGAGCTAATACACGCAGAGCCCTCGTTGGTTCTATCGACGCAAACCGAGGACGAGGTTTCATTCGCACAGTTGATCGCGCCTGAGTGTACTCGTAGTCGCTCTCCAACAGTCGCACAGCAGACCGCGGCTGAAGCGGAGACAGTTGTCCAATCTACCTACGACACAGTCGAAGAGGCGGTCCTACGCCGCGATTTTGCTTTGAACTCGCAGACACCTCATTCGACTGCGTCACGTGAGCAGAACGCGCAGGTTGTTCCACCGCAACAGGACCTCAGTACGCAAGAAGAGACCGAGAGTATACGACCATCAGTCGAAATTGCAGATCAAACGGATTGCTCTACACCAGACTCCTCCCGGCACGATTCTTCTCAGGATACACCGGAGCGGAGCAAGAGCCCAGCTGCACCTAGCTCTTCTCCTATTGCACAGCCCCCAAGCCATTCACTGCCTGCGTTGGATTCAAACATCCCGCAGCGGCCTGTATCGCCGATACCCTCTTCTTCGATCTCTATCATGGCTACCCAAAGTTCAGCGGCGGAAGTGCAGCGGCAGTTGCAGGAGGCAATGGCAAAAGCGAAACAGAACCAGGCTCCATTCACACCAACACGGGCACTGCGAAGGTCGAATATCAACGCTACGCCATCAGTTACTGCCCCTGCCCCTGGCAAAACTCTAGATGACGCCAACTCCAGTTCGAATGGACGATTGCTTGGCGCTGGCGCATCGCCGTCGATAGCTGCCACTGACGGTACCCGATCTCCTTCGACGATACCAGATCGATCACCAGCCCTATCGGCACCCACTTCGTTGCGGACTATTGCACTTACACGCGCTACTAATGCGCCTGCTGCAGATATCCACGAATCTCAGCCACAAGAGGTCCTTGCCGGGGAGGTCATTACTGTTGTGCCAGCTATCGTGACGACGGAGCCGACTGTGCCCGAGGAGCCCTCCTCTGATAATGAGATAATGAGCGACGCATCAACCGACGGTACTGAGAGCTTGCTCAACGACGATCTGCAGCTGGATTCTGAAGAGCGCATTGTGCCACTCTTCATAGATGGACGCCAGGGCGAGGAGTACACGAATGTGATGAACCATGGAAAAGCTCTTCTCGATGCTTTCGCAAGGGACCGAGACGGATTTGAACCATTTGCCAAGATCGAGGAGCTATTAGCAAACTTCCATGCTCTCGAGACCCATTTCGATCTGTTCTACGAGGAAGCAGGACCCTCCAACAGCGGCCCAGACCCAGCGAGCCAGATCGAATTCCTGGGAAATTTCGGCAAGGAAAACTCTGCCAAGTTCAACTTCCTTCACGTCTTGTTCCATGCAGCGAGAGATGAAGAGAAACACATTGTGCTCATAATCGAAAACGAGAACGAATCACTTCTCAGCATCATCGAGACCTTCTGTAAGGCGTGCTACGTGCAGTACAACATGCCAACAAGAAACCGGCAGTCTAGTCCTGAATGGGTCAAAGGCAACCTCCTAGTTACCATCTTCCCTAGCACGACGTCACCCATTATACGGCCTCCAGACGTGATTATATGCCTTGATGGCGTTCAAGATGCGAAAGTTATTCGACAGAAGAACTGGGCACGCCACCCAGATATCGAGATTGTGCCTGTGCTGCATCTCGTCATATCTAGAACCGTCGGTCACATTGAGCGCTACCTGTCATCATCGCTTAATCGGCGAGAGCGCGCACACACGATCGTTGCCAGTCTTGGACAGATGCGATCCCAGCTTGGAAAACCTATTGACGAGGATATGCCTCGAGCGCCCGTTACAGCAACCCTGGTAGCTGCATGGCTTAGAGCCGACGAGTATCCACGCGATTGGCCTCTGGGGTCGATTGGCAGCGTGAAGGATGTGATCGAGTATCAAACGCAGACGTCTGAAGAATCTCCCGTGGCGGAGCGCACAAAGCGTCCCCACGAGGAAGACGAAGCTCTTGATCCCGCAAAGCGCATGCGCCTAACGCCTCAGCCCCACGCAGGGCCTAGCTCGAGCGTAAGCCATGATAACGACATTACTCGGATTAGCGATTCCATGCCTGGTACAGCTCTTGATATGTCATTGCTTCGTGCGCAGGCGGCTCGCCCAGAGGAGGCTCTTCAGAAGGAGAGGGCCGCAAGAAAAGCTGAACAAGCACGCTACCGTGAAAAAGAACTTGCATGGGACAAGCAGCAAACCGCGCATGAGGACTTGACCCGCGAGTATCGCATACTGCTCGGCAAGCAGCAAAGCTCAGAAGAGCAGGTCAAGTCTCTTACGAAGAATGTTGCCACGCTCCGCGAGCGCCTTGAAGCCCGCACGATGGAATTTCGCACCAGAGACGAGCAACTCGAAGATCAACGCAATACTCACAGTCTTTCCGAGGATGCAAAGATCGCTGAGATCACTAAGCTGCGTATCGATGTAGCTCAAGCTATTGCCGACAAGGAGCGCGCTGTCAAGTCCGCAACAAGTGCCGATGCCACCCTCGACTACACAAAAGAACAGTATCGCCTCGCCCAAGAAGCCGCGACCACCTCAGCCGCACGTGTCGCAGAGCTTGAGACTCAGGTGGTCAAGCTCAGCCACATAGCCTCAGGGCAACCCGCGGAGCTGAAGAAACTGCACCTCAATCGCCAGTACGAGCAACAGGCAACGCAGATCAAAAGTCTCAAGGCAGAGAACCATATTCTGAAGAAGAGCGTAGCGCAGAAGGACGACGAGCTGCAAAGGGCGAAGATGAGTGTGGGAAGACAAGGTGTAGGCACCAGGGGGACAAGTGTGACTCCTCAGCCGAACAAGGTCAGGAGTAGGGCTGCTAGTCCCGCGACCAGGTTGAGCAACTTAAGGAATGGTTAGGAGGGTGATGGCTGGGAAGGGGTAGCCTTATGTGACATGCGTTCATGATTGTGCTGGCATTTCCAAGGTAGATGGGATCAATATCCTAATTGGGGCGGAATCTCGCATTCTTGGCTTTTTGGCGCAAGGTCTAAATAGCCCGAGCATTATCTCTTTTGAGCAATTCAAGCAAGCACATTTTTCTATCACCGCAGCGCATACTTGTTTTGTGATCTTGATCGTGTAGGAGCATGTCAGGGTGTTGAAGCAAATATTTGGCTAGGATTTGCTCAAGCTTGACCGTGCGGCACGTCCATGTACACCCGGACACTGGGAGTTTCCAGCTTAATGTTCACCAGTCGAGCTTCGACGCGGGTTTCACTCCATCTGAATTCCCTATCACTCGATTTGAAGGCTCACGCATCTCTCGTTATGCATTGTCCTGCTGACAACATACAGTTCACCCTTCCGTCGAACGTTACCGCAATCGCAAACGTAGCCATACTAACAGCCCAGGACTGTCATCTTTCCCGCTTTCTCTCACACAAAACACCGAGCTTGCACACACGAATTGACCTCCATTTGCTGCCGCCTCGTGCAGCCTGCTAACATCAAAGCAAAGGTCACCACTTCCGCCCCGACGATAGGCCCCGCCCCGTCCCCAACCTCCGCGGCAGCCTCAAGCTCCGTCTTCCGCTATGGAGGGATAGACGGCAACAACACTGGCACGCTCCGAGTCTGGCTGCCCCCGCCCATACTCTATCTCAACTGCTACTACACCGGCAATCAATCCACGAGCACCCATGTAATCAACGACAAGTCGAGAAGCGACGCTAACACCAACATCAGCGTTTGCTACAACTTCTGCAGCACCGGAGCAAACACCACAGCTGACGGCGTACCCTACTTCAGTAAGCAAAAAAAAAACAGCCTCTCTTGTGTACGGCAGAAAATTAACCAACCCGTGCAGCATACTTTGGCATTTGGCAGGGCACGTTTTGCAAATGCGGCAACAATTTCAACTGGCAGATTGCGGGCAATGCTAGCGCGATTGCGACCGAGTGTCGTAATCCGGCGTTTAATAACGGTCTCAATCGGACCTTGACGGGCACGGATGCTGGTGGTGCGAAGAATGCCATGGTCGTTTGGAGATATAATGATCCAGACTTGGCGGCGTCGGTGAGTACGGCTCTCGTTATGTTGTGGTCTGTATCTTTTTAAAAGCTGTGTATGAGGTATAAGTATGAACGTTTCTTTTCCTTGGCGTTTTTCAAGGTAAGGACTGCGCTGCGGCCCAGATGCTATCGAGATGTGGGATGCGACGTGTCTGTGGAAACGACGGGTGGGAAATGCGAATATGACTACGAGACGGACGACGATCGAGTACAAAAGCAACGAAGGAAAGTCCCGATTGGTAATTGAGACCCCAAGAGGTTTGCTTCCTGCTTACATATACTAAAATGCTCAGTCACTTCCCCAACCAAGAGAAAGAAAACGGACGACGACACTGGTTTGTGCAGGACGGCACCGAGTGGTGTAAGTTGGCCAAAGAACCAGTCACGACTCTACATACGCTGATCCAAATTTTCAGTACCTCATCAAGTGCAAAGGAAACAACACGACAAAACATCCCGATCGGCACTGCATTGACTTCTGATTTTGCGAGAGACTGCTGTACATACATGTATGGTCGGACGTATGGTTGCGAGTATCGACGAGCACAAGTACATACGGATCGGAGCGGTCCCGTTGCAAGAATGTGGCTGGGCAACTAGAATGTCAGCCGCGACGGCGACACTTGCCAAAACGAGATTCTTAGCAGAAGTCGTACGACAACACTTTCTTGGGCATGCATCCATAGGACCTATGATAATTTAGTGACTGGAGTACAGAGGAAATGTCATTTGTCCGATGAAGCTCTGCCCCACTCCCGACCAATGAACTTGTCGAATAAACCTAAGCCTTGCCATAGGTTACACACTGGGGGACAATCAATTCCACTGCTGGGTGTACGGCAAGGTCTGAATAAGACGATGATCCAGCGGCTTCAGCCCTTCTTTGTGAGTTTCCACACAACACAATACTATCTCGTCGACTATTGTAATGGAGCAGCCCGGGCCCTTAGCCAGACCTCTCCTCAGCGCCTCTGGCAACAGAGTAAGCGAGGAGCTTCGACCGTCCAGCCCAGCCAGTATGCAGTCTACAAGCGGGATGTCAACCACATCAAGATAGTCTGCACTGGAACAGTGCGAGCCTCCCAATAACTTTGACGACGAAGTGGGTGGAAGCCTTCGATGGGCCAGACAGATGAGTCTGCTGTCCATAACCAAAGTACCGACAAAAAATAGACAGAGCGCTCTGTACAGCTAACACATGCAAGCTGGGTGGCTGCATTTGGCGCCGTCGTGACTATAATGGCCTCGCTCACTGGCTTCTTCACGCAACAGCTTGTGCAATTTCAGGATTGTCTTCAGAAAGATACGACTGCATTAGTCAAAATATCGCGAACCAACTCCTACGTCAAGCACGGAGCCTGGATTTAGAGCAACGTCCCCACAGATCATGCCGCGATGGTTTCCGCAATCAATGTTGGCATACTTCAACCTCCCGGTGATTTAACAAACACGCTATCTTCTGGCTGTAGCAGTGGGAATTACACTTTCTCTGAAAGTGGCAGTCCTTCATTCTCTACCATCGCAATGCGTCATTACTGTCAGGATATCACCTCACGCATCCGCGTCTTGAACGAGACCCGTACAAGCGATAACAAGTCTTCCACTGGTGCGTACCTCAGGATAGACTTTGGCAATAAGGAAACCTTTGACTGGTCTCAAAATCCACTGGGATCGTCTTCTCGTCATGGGTTAGTGCCAAACCCTTGGATCTGACCACGGTCTATTTTGTCTTCAGATCACACTGGGATGATAAAGATTGGAAAGCAGTCAATTGCTCGTTGTTCCCAGTTGTGAACACTTATGCAGCCAACATCAGTGGTGCGGTACTTCAAGAGGAGCTGACTGAAAGTTTTCCTCTCCGAGGAATAGGCGGCCATTCTAAGAAACGCGAAATGGCTGACCAAGACTTTGCGGCACTACAAGAGGAACTGACTGACAATTTTTATCTCCAAGGAACAGGCGGCCATTTCAGAAGACCTGGAACAGCTGACCAAGACTTCAACAACATCGTCTTCACTTTTGCCCACATGATGGTCACGAACCATAACCTACGAGGCGGCAAGCGAGAGTCCTGTGAGGGCTCCAACAGACCTGGAACAGGGCTTAGAGAGTTCATGAAAAGCAGTAACGAGCCTACTTACGTCACTCTCGAAGGCCACACAGATCCCACTTCTGGATGGAAATGGCGGTACTATCCAGAAGATTGCATTTGGACGGTGTCCAGATTTGCCATGACTGCGAACCGGCAGACCCTGAGCGAGATATTGGATGGCCAGAACGTTACGATGACTTTCAAAGGTGGACTGGGGGGATCGACGCACCTGCGTGTATTATTCGAGGAAGGCAATGTTACGTACGATAGCATAGATGAGCGTTTTCGGGGGCTGGCGACCTCCATATCCGCAGTCATGCGAACGAATGGCGGCAGCGCGTACACACGATCTTTGATGGAAATCGCCAGAGGTACCGTTTGGGTCAACATAACGTGCGTCTCTATACGATGGCCTTGGATCGCTTTTCCAGCCGTCATGATAGGACTAACGGGTTTGTTCCTTATATTGGTCGCGATCGAGAACCGCGGCATCGAGAACGATCGACTCTGGAAAAGCTCTTTCCTTGCTGCTCTGTTCTGCGAGGCTGAATTGCACGAGAAACCTGTTGGAAAAGAGCAAATGAAAGCAGTCGCCAAGTCATCGAGCATGAGCCTTGAGGGAAAGAATGGGACGTTGAGATTGATTGCCCGCTAGATGGTCATCGCTATGTTTGCGTTCTGAAAACTTTTCTATGATAGTATAGATGTGGAAACATGTTACATTTCCCTTGTGGTGATGGTGAATTATGGCAGCAATTGTGTACATCATGCCGATGCTATAGCGAGCAAGTTTAGAGCAAGATCTTGAGTATACAGCGGGTGGATTATTGCTGTACTCAAACACTAACGGAGTTCGTTACTGATTGTCGGCCACGACCATTTTGAGGTGTTGGAACACATCCCAACTCATACAAGAACCTGACTATATCATCGTGACCCCTGGAAATCGCTAGATCCATCGGAGTCTCTCCAGCTCTGTTCCTCGTCGTCACATTCGCTCCATGCTGAACTAGCAGTTTGACCATTTCGAGCCTGACCTTACCCCCACGGCACGCGAGATGTAAGCATGTCTCCCTGAAAGGTCTTATAGTGCCCGCTACATCTGCACCGTGGTTGAGTAGGAGCCTTGTGATTTCGATGTCGTTTTTTGTAACTGCTTGAGTCAAGGGGGTATGACCACGATCATCTCCTTGACAGACGTCCGCGCCTTTCTCAATCAGGTACTTGCATACAGCGGCTTGTTTGCTTGTGACTCCGCAGAATAGAGGTGACCCTCTATAGCTGTGAAGAGCCCGTAAATCGGCGCCTCGCTCCACAAGCATTTCGACAACTTTGAGATGACCTCCTCGCGCCGCCGCATGTAACGGTGTCCATCCGTCGTCATTTCGCCCGTCCAGACTGGTATCTGGTGTAACTTCGAGTAAGACCTTGACAATGTCTAGGTGCCCCTTAGCCGAAGCCACATACAAGGGGCTGTTGCGATCTCGGTCGCATCTGGCCGGATTCACGCCATACCGTAAAAGCAGTCTGGTTGCTTCAAGGTGGCCGCGATCACAAGCGACGCCTAAGGCTGACTCTTGGTTCTCCGAAGTAGCGCCCACATCTGCGCCATGGTCCAAGAGCAGTTGAATTATGTCGACCTGGCTAAAGCGTGCTGCGGCGATCAGGCACGCCTCTACATGATCATCATCGTTCGGCTTGCCCACATCGGCTCCGTGGCGAAGTAGCAGCTGAACTATCTCAGAGTGTTCGTTCCAAATTGCCACGTGTAACGGGGTGCGGAAATAGTCGTCCAAAGGCGATATGCTGGCACCTCTGGCGACAAGTCTGTCGGCCATTGATGTATAGCCGAGTAAAGCTGCTAAGTGTAGTGGTGTGCTGCTTTCTTCATCCACACAGTCGATATCCGATCCGTACTTCAAAGCTGATTGAAATGTTTCGTAAACGCACATCTTTACAGACCACAAGAGAGCGCGATTGCCATACTTCGAATATAGTGGCTTAGTGCATATATCGCGAAATAGATGGCTGACCCGACACATGGCTGATAGCTCTGATGTTTCCAACAAATAGCTTGCAATGTGGATCTGGAGCTCTGTCGGTAAATGTTGAAGAAGCATTTTGTTTTGGAAAGAGGCCACAACCAATGGCTTGATGACCGAGAGTGAAAGATGGGGGCCGGAGTCATCCAACGGGGAGAAGATGTATGAATGGTGAAGAAGACGGTCCCCTCTTGGGCGTGCAACAAATCCGAGTAGGCCACGATTAGCCCCGAGCTAGCCTAAGCAGTCTTAGGCTAAATTGTATGTTATTCGCTGCCTAGTATACTAGAGCAGAAGGACTCTCGATAATTCAAGGAGATCATTGCAAAATTGGAGGACTACGGTTTAGAGCCAGCTGTTCCATGACCTGATTCCACGTCCATATGCTGGAAATGTCCAACCTACAATACACAATCCCAAACAGGCAAGTTTGCTCTCCAAAACATCACCCCTCCAAGAATAGCCCATCGATCCTGCAAGAACAACTCACGCTACGTGAACAACTAATGCAGCGAGAGCAGTCCATCATAAATATCCTGCGACACCACAATCAGCATCGGAACGTTCTCCTATAAATTTTCAGCGCTCACCCTGACCGACATACCCGATTTAATCCTTCCCCTTCGGCATGAAATGCGCATCCACATACCACATCCCCCAAATAAGACATGCGAGCTGAATGAGGATAACGCAAAGCAGCAGCAGAGCCGGCTGGTGCTGAGAGATGCAGCTCGTGCATGCGGAACGGCCGGTATCGAAATATTGCGACATCGTGGATATATCGTTGAGTGAGTGGAGTGTTCTTTGTCGTGTAGCTCGTTGCTTTGATTGCGGACTGATGGGGGGATGTTTGAGAAACAGATTTGATGGAAGAAAGGCCTTACGAATGAGAAAGATGATGTTGAAAGTAGCTAGATCCTGTAAGTCCGCGTTTGTGAAATACTGAGTTTGTGATGTTCCTGCTGCCTGTGATGTGTGAAGTGCATCTTCTGATACGATGCTTTGCTGTTTTGAACGAATGTCCCGACTTCACAAACATGCACTGCTCGAAGTTTTCACAAACTTGATAGTTTTCGTCTATACACGCCTATAGCTTGCTCTTGCCAATACCCCAAACCTCTGCCTGAGGGTTATTCGACTTCTTGTTGATCGAGCCACTCTCCGACACTGGTTGTTGTCCGTCTTCAATATATAAGCTCTGGTTCTGCTTCATGGTCTCGACGGCCTCGCGCTCGATGCGCTTGAGGAGCTCTTCGTTGGTGGGGATGTCGTGAATGAGTCCGATGACTTGACCAGCTGTCCAGACCTGTGACATTGTTAGTTCGTGTTTGTGAAGCGCGGTAAGGAGGACACTTACACCAAAGTCCTTGTCACCGTTCAAGAACACCTGACGACCCCGCTTGCCGCTGACGTACTCAGCCACCTCCTCGAACTTGCCAGTCGTGCTCTTCTTCTCGATGTCAACGGCGGCTAGCGCAACCTTGTTGGCGAAAAGTCGCGACGTGTTCTTCCACCGCCTAAGAACGAGCGTAGTATCTGTTTCTTGCGCGTCGACAATCGACTGCTTGATGTTGTGGTGGATAGGCGCTTCCACGGTACACATGAAACGGGTTCCCATGTTGATACCGCAAGCTCCCAGAGCGAGCGCAGCTGCCAGACCCTGGCCATCTGCGAAACCCCCTGACGCAATGAAAGGCACGCCGAGCGTTTGCCTTGCCTTGCTCAGAAGGATGAAGTTTGTGATATCGGTCTCGCCAACGTGTCCGGCGCACTCGAAGCCATCGATAGACAGGAAGTCCACGCCAAGCTTCACGGCAGACTGCGCATGCCTGATTGTGGTGCACTTGTGCAGGATGGTTGTGCCAGCGGCCTTGAGTTGCTTGATAACTGGTCCTGGGCTGTTACCAGCCGTCTCGACGATGTTGACCTTCTCCTCGATGATGACGCGGGCGTAGGCTGCGTAGTCCGGGGGGACCATGGCGGGTAGGAGGGTGAGGTTTACGCCGAAGGGGTTCTTGGTCATCTCGCGACAGCGGCGGATCTCCTTGCGAAGGTCCTCTGGGGTCGGTTGGGTAAGAGCAGTCAACTGTACACTGTCAGAAGCTACATACACGAGTGGATAGATTCGTCACGTACTATACCCAGGCCACCTGCATTACTGACAGCACTGGCGAGCTCTGCATATCCCACCCATTGCATACCTCCCTGTACAACGGGCACTATTCATCGTCAATACTGAGTTGCGGGACATTGTCAGTGGAACTCACCTCTAATGCCGAGTGCCCTGGTAAGCTCCGTATTGAATGGCATGTTTGTTCGTTGTATCAAGACTGGATATCACAGATTCCAAAAGTGAAGAAGAAGAAGGGAAGACAAAGTTTAAGGACCCTTAGATATTATTGAGGCTCTGTTACGCGCGTTACCTGGATGAAGCTTGTCGCGCCGCCGGCTGAGGGATGTCTTTCATGTGGGGAAAGCCAGGAGCCGAGGCAACTCTAGTAGGCTACTAATCCATCTCGCGCCCGTTGAATGCACACTTCCATCGCGTCATGGCGCATGATTCGATTCCGCTGAGTCGCTAATGATTGCGCAAATGAAAAGAGGTTGGTCCTGTCGATTGTGTGAGATGGAAGCGGCTGATGCTGAATGGCAAGAGCGGCGCAGCCCCAGCGAATCCAGCCATTATCACAAGCCAACATGTGAAGCCAGCACGGACACTTCCCAGGTCATTCCAACCTCGAATCACGAGGGCGTCCTCTTTTCACAGTTTCGTGTCTTTCAATGTACGTTCTTCAGAGACCGGACCTGCATTGTGTTCGACGATAGCGGCTTTTGGGATCTTGTCACGCGAATCTCGCCACACGATGCGACGCTGAACACGCCCATCAGTCCATCGGGGCGTCTCTTCACGATGACCAGAGGTCCAGGACTTTCTTTTTTGCAACAATCTCATCTTGGAGGGCTTGTCTTTCTAGGCCATTTGCCCACAGACCATATGAAGACAGAGACATCATGCCAGCGGCACCATCTTTCCGGGGAAACTTGCTTCCAGGTCGGCCAAGCGTAGTCGTGCGAGATGACGCCCTTCCTATGCATAGCGGCTTTGTGTGCATTTGAATATGAGCAATCAAACAATTCGAAGCCCTGCACTTCAGAAACGAGATCTGGTGGTGTTTCTCCTCAGACCATTGTGATACATTTTGTTCGTATTGGAACTGGCGCGATCTGGCGCCAGCCCGTGCCATCTCGATACTTATGATGCTCTTCGATGGCGATCATAACCAGTAGTAAGACGAATTCCATTGATTGAGAGTCTGGCAAGTTGGTCGATGAGGTACATGAGGAGTGCCGAAAGTTCGGGTCGCCGTAATGTAATCTCTCTGTGGCCAACTCCTTTGCGCGCACCGGGGCCTCGAATTGCTCTAGATTCTTCCAGCGGCTCTCGACACGAAAGGATATGCCCCAGACTGCCCAAGGAGACGGGCGGCATATCGAGAAGGTCATACACCATGTACCGGACGTCGCGGTTTAGGTGAGTGAAGGAGTTAAGACAGATAACGCTCTCGTATGGTGAAGATGTCTCGCTGTGCAGTGAGTGAGACATGACTGCACGATTGGCGCTTATCCGGGCGATTTGATAAGAGTTGGTTCCATGGATCCAAAAGATGAGGTTAAGGTTGATGGGTGTGGTGCACAGGTTACGGGTGCTGAAGCTGTAGAGAGCTGCTCTCGCTCACGATGCCTCGCATTCATCGTTCTTGTCTCATTTTCATTTTCATTCTCACTTGCACTTCACTTCAGATCGCATCTTGCATCCGTAAGATTCTGGTCGTGAATCGTGGCGAAGTCAAAGCTTTCGGTAGACACGCATCGCGCAGTTGACACCAACCGGATGCAGAAAGTGCGACCGCGTAGTGGCCAATCGCCACTCCTCCGAGCTGCACTCCCCATACTTTATCCCGTCCTACTTGAAAGGATGAGCTCAAATCCCCACACTTCGTAAGCCGTCTTCCTGTCTCTTTTCTTTCGTTTCGTTCTGTATTGCTTTCCATAATGACCCTCCGGTGTCTTGCCATGCTCACATTAGCTCAAAGTGTGCTTTCAGCATGCGCAACTTTCGACTACATCATAGTTGGGGGTGGGCCAGCAGGCCTTTTGGTTGCCAATCGTTTGTCCGCCAACTCGAACACTACCGTTGCGATCATTGAAGCGGGTGGCTCCGTCCACAACAACCCCGATGTGACGACACTACCAAAGACCATTGCCGAATTTAGTCCAGGCCTTGGTTCCTCCATCGACTGGAGATACACCAGTGCGCCTCAAAAATACACCTTGAGCCGAGCGATTCCGTTCGCTGCTGGCAAAGCTCTGGGTGGTAGTACCACCATCTTTGGGATGACGTACCTAAGAGCTGAAAAGGTGCAAATCGATGCGTGGGAAGAACTAGGCAACGATGGATGGAACTGGGACAGTATGTGGCCGTACTATACAGGACAAGAAATGTTCCAAACACCAAGTGAAGAGCAACAAAAGAATGGTGCAACATATGAAGAACAATTCCATGGCTTCAAGGGCGAAGTTGATATAGGTTTTACACCATACCTCACAGGTCAAGGAGCTTTCGATCTTCTCAGCGAGACGACAAAAGCCCTTGGGTACCCAGTCAACGAAGACGCAAACAATGGTACTCTGCGTGGTACTACAACATGGCCATCGCTGCTAAAAGTAGATGAAAAGATACGAGAGGATGCTGCAAGATCATTCTATTGGCCCATTGTTGATGCTCGACCGAACTTGCATATGTTCCTCAATACTGAAGCAACACGTATTGTTTGGAGTAAAGGGGCCGCGTTTGGAACACAAGCAACCGCTGTTGGCGTCGAAGTTCGCACACTAAACGACACAATCGAAAAACTGTACGCTACACGCGAGGTCATTGTTGCAGCTGGATCACTTCGATCGCCCGCACTTCTAGAACACTCTGGCCTTGGCAACTCTGCAAAGCTACAAGCACTGGGAATCGAGACTGTCGTGTCTCACCCAACCGTAGGTTCAAACTTCATGGACCAGCCTGCAAACGGCTTAACCTACTCATCTTCGACAAACTGGACCGGCTACGGTACCTTCGTAACCTACCTTACAGCTTCCGATTTATTTGGCTCAGATCTCGAAGAAGTGACTGCAGAAGTTCGTGCAAACCTCAGTACTTATGCAGCGACCATCGTCGCAGACTACGCGCCTGGCGTGACCACGCTTGAGAAGCAGGAGCAACTCCTCAAACACCAAATTGACCTCATATTCTCCCCCAACAGCACCGTTCCCCTCGCTGAACTCCTCTGGATTCCTTACGAAACAGCCATCGTGGCTCAATTCTGGAACTTATTACCACTTTCTCGGGGCTCAGTACACATCGCCTCCTCTGATCCAACAACTGCACCATCCATCAATCCGAATTTCTTCCAACTCTCCGTCGACATGTACGTCCAGGCCGCCGCTGCAATCCGCATTCGGGATTTCTTCGCCACTGCACCGCTTTCTCAGCACGTCACAGGCGAAGTATCGCCTAGCTTCGATGTCGTGCCAAAGAATGCGAGCTGGCAGGATCCCGCATGGCGGAAATGGATCGAGGAGACGTATAACAGTAACTCGCACCCTGTGAGTACTTGCGCTATGATGAGTAAGGAGTTGGGAGGAGTAGTGGATATCGAGGGAAAAGTGTATGGCACGGCGAATGTTAGGGTGGTGGATGCGAGTATCTTCCCCACCCAAATCAGTGGGCATTTGACAGCGAGTATCTATGCGATTGCTGGGAGGATTGTTGATGGTATGATGTCGGAGAGATAGGTCTTAATCACATAGGGAGGGGTCAGGGTTGCGTAGTGGCCGATGCTCGATTCGATAAGGGCGCCGATAACTCATTGCTAATCCCTACGAGCAATATATCCAAATGCCAGACATGCGCGCATACTTCTCGGTCCTCTTCCTGCTGATCCGGCCACATTGTGAGCAATTCGATCTTGGGGCATCGTGTCAAAGGCCAAGTCTCAGGATCTAGTCTCTCAAAGGACTACGCCGTCAAGGCGCCCGTGTTCTACATAGGTTTAGGATCTCACAGCCTCAACACGACCAAGTTAGGTAAAAACGCGGACGAATAGATCGGCCGAGACCAGGATAATTGCGCCGACTCACGAATCATCTACGCCTGCAGCAGTAAGCTCAAGACTATCACATGTTTTAGCGCTGATAGATTGTAAGACCTACCTTTTTTGTGCATCTGCTACTTGTCTCGAAACTACTCGGGTATTGCAGTCATTAACACCAGAGCGGCGCATCACAAACATCTCAAGCCATCTGGTTTTTGCCTTTAACACCACACTCATCAACCATGAAATCCGTCCTAATCACAGGCTGCAGCGACGGCGGCATCGGCTCCGCCCTTGCCCTCACCTTCGCAACGCGGGGCCTCCTCGTCTTCGCAAGCGCCCGCTCCCTCTCCAAAATGTCCGAGCTCGCCAACCTGCCTAATGTGCACCTACTCGAGCTTGACATTGTGAAGCCCGCGGACATCGCATCCGCCGTGAGCGCCGTGAAGAAGGAAACTGGCGGCACGCTGGACTATCTCGTAAACAATGCGGCGCAGGCGCGGTACATGCCGATGCTGGACGAGACGGTAGAGCAGGCGAAGGAGCTGTTTGAACTTAATGTTTGGAGCCAGTTGAGGATGGTGCAGGCGTTTGCGCCGCTGTTGATTGAGGCGAAGGGGTGTGCAGTTTATATCTCGAGTGTGTCGGGGTATGTGACGCAGATGCCTTGGATGGGTAACTTTCCCTTTCCTGCGCTTATGTATTGCCTAAAGCAACTGATTTATTCCACGCAGGAACATATGCCATGACCAAGCGCTCAACGGAAATCATGTTCGATGCTCTACGTCTTGAGCTCGAGCCTTTTGGCGTCACGACTATAAGTGTGGTCACGGGCCCGGTCAAGTCACGTGTGAATACGCATCAGGAGCTGTGGAAGCTGCCTGAGAACTCGCGGTATGCGGACGTTGAGCAGATCATCACGAAGAGATCGGAGGGCGAAGACGGTTCGCCGAGACAGGATACAATGAAGTATGCTGAAGGAGTCGTGGACAAGATTCTGAAAGGTAATCCAAAATTCTGGGCGGGCGCAAACATTGGCATCATCAAGTGGATGGCGACGTGGTTGCCTCGCTCAGTATTGGTATGTGGTCTTCACTCGCGATTTCTTGCGGCCAGCTGCTAACTATTACATAGGACTGGGCTTTGAAGCAGAATTCGGGCGTTGATGTCATGTTGAAGAACAAGAAGTAGTCTACTCAAACCACATTTCGAACTCATCAAATGTTACCAAACTGACAAGGGGTTTCAATGTCAATCATCTCCAGAAGCGCCCTTTCCATATCGTCGCCTCTTTTCCAGAGCTCACGCTCCCACTTTTCATTCTCTACTGGATCCAGATCTTGGTCCATATGCATCTGAAAGTAGTCAAACATGGGAAACTGGTCTCTGTGTACTGAGACTTTTGTTCTCCCGAAAAACTGAGGGTAGTGTCCGGTTCTTCGTCGCCGCTCAACCTGGAATGGTGGTATGGCGATATCGTCATCGGCATGCTTGGGCAGATGAATGCTCAGCTCGATGTCTGGACGGTCCATGAGATTCAACAAGGGCGATAGAATGGCCGACTCATTGATTCGATACCAGAAATCGTTGCTGTCGTGATCAAGCCATACTCTGAGCTTTCGAAATTGCTTGAGACGGTCGAGTGCTGGACCTATGCGCAACCACATTTCTGCATGATCGAAAGCGAAGTCCTTGAAATCCTCTTTCTTGATGATTTCAGAACGCGCGCTGTGTCCAGAAGACTTCATTTCGATCGCGACGAGAACGTCCAACGGGAGATTAAGCGCGATTTCCAAGCTCTTAAGGTTGCAAACTATTTCCCTGAAGAATGCGTCGGTGCGCTCCAGAAGTGCGTCCAGTGTGACAATATCAGTCACGATGAGAGTACCTTGACTCAGGTGATCGAAAACATCGAGTTGCCTATGTCGAAAGACCGTCAGCCTAGCCTTCCAGCCACACACCAGATAACTCACAGCTTCTTGCACGTTCTCACTATCACGTCAAAAGCCCCGCAATCGTCGTTCGACCCCAAACTCTCCAACATCATTTCCTCGCACTTCCAATGCGGTCCCCAGGCCGACATGTATGCACAAGTAAATCGCTCACGTTTCGCTCGATTTCTAGGATCGGCTTCGCATTCATATGGCGTAGTAATGTCTTGACACCCATAGCAGCTTATAATCCTCAGCACTCCATGAAGAAGCAAAATGTGGGTGCCTTGTGAATGTGGGGTGAGGTGGTCGAAGATCTGGCGTCGGATGTCGTAGGGTGCTTGGACTAGTTTGCTATCGAACTGCGGGTCGATGATGTTGTTTAGATTTGACGAAGTCATGTTCATGGATGACTGCTTTGTCATTAGACGAGCTTGAAGTTATGCTTAGAGACAATCTGTGTGCACAGCCCCAAGTCGGCTGTGCCGCAGTCATAGAGCTTGACATCGTATCAAGGCTTGAGGCAACAAGTTCACTAGTAGATTCATCATGTGAAAGATGAAGGAGTGAATGAAACTCCTAAAATGAATCTTTGCTTGCATTGGAGAGGCGTAACTATTCTGCGTACTACAACATTCCACTAAATTCCATCGCGCACGCCGCGCATGAACACGTCCAAAACATCCTCCCCCACAACCTAATACACCCGATATATTCCACCTAATTCCTTCTCTCCTCATCGAACAAACATAAAACACCCACCGGCTCAGGTTCACGGTTTACCGTGGATCTACTCTCTTACCCACAGTGGTATTGAGGTTTAGCTAGGCCGGGGTTCGAATACTTCTCGGAGCTCTCTCTACAAAATAGAGCTTTTAAGAAATCTTCTCAGGCGGCTTAGCCTAGGAGGAGAAGTTCAAGAGGCTGGATAGAGGAGAAAAGATTAGGGTCGGACAATGAATTAAGAAAATAAGAGTTTCTTCCCCTCGCTTGCCACACAAGGCAAGCGGGGGTTTCTTTTGCATATTTTTTTGCGCACTGCACTCTTGCACTCTTGCACTCTTAAGAACACAATCCGCGCTACATAGCTTTTGACCCTGTCTAAGCCTAAGCAATAGTCTAAATATTACCTGCAGGCATTCCGGGAATCCAGTCAAGGAGTCCAAGTCGGTAAGGCCGGAGCTAAAATCCGCATCAGTACTTGAAACCAACCGCAGTACATAGGTAGAAACAATCTGAGATACCGATTCAAGGACAACAATGGGGTCTTCCCCGTCTTGCCACATCTTAAGTTCAACTGCCTCGATCTCTGGTCCAACGTCTTCATCAGTCAACACGCTATCAGCGAACCCTCGCAGGACTGGATACTGCCATTTGTGATTGATACAACCATAAGAGAACGGCCCTGTGACATCGAATAGTACACGATACATGGTGGCACACTCACAGCTTTTTGCATGTAGTGAGCAACGCGTACATGTCAATATTTGCTTTGCCCTCTCTCATCGTCTCTTCACACTTCCAGTGAGGTCCCCATGTTGACTTTGGTCTACGTGCCCAGACATCGTACCCAACGCCCTTCTCGCGTTCTAGTCCAGGATAGTATCCATCGGCCTCTGGACATCCAACACATTCTGAGATGCGTAAAATGTCTTCGTGCATACAGACATGAACGTCCCAAGGTAAGAGGTAGTTGAAGATCTGACATTGGATATCTTAAGGCGCTTGGAGAAGTCTGCTGTTAGTCTGTGGGTCGATGCTACCATTCACGTGTGATTGAGACATTCTCATGGAGTGCAAAGAGTATTTTCCAGTGGTTTGCGCATGGTAACGACCCGTTCTTATAAGTTGTTGTCTGCTTGCACAGCCTCAAGTCGACTGTGCCGCAAACGTACAGCGTTCATAGGTAACGAATTGTTGCCTGGTCGCTGCATATTCGCGGTATCATAGTAAAGCATACCTACTATCTCTCTACTGAAGAGAGGTTCTAAGGAAACCGCCTGCAAGAGAAGGAAGTGAGCACGTGCCCAGGCGCTCGGACCGCGCCATCAAGCCGCGGTCCCGGAAAGCCATGGCCGTTGGTAGAAGCATCCCCACTTCACCATCGATCTCGGGACCCTGCATAATTCCGCGGTCGCCTTCTACTGCCGTACAGAACATTCACTTTCAACCGCCCTCACAAAGCCAATCGCGAACGCCGCCGCCCATAATTGCTCTCCTCACACGTTACTCCCTCCAACCCTCGTACCCCACCACAACCTTCTCACGGCCACCACCATGGCATCCAGCGCCTCGAAACGCCTCTTCAAAGAGTACAAAGCGCTCTCCTCCGACCCACCCGAAGGCATAACCGCAGGCCCCATCTCCGAAGACGACATGTTCCTCTGGGAAGCCCTGATCCAAGGCCCCGAAGGCACACCTTTCGAAGGCGGCATCTTCCCCGCCGAACTCAGGTTTCCCAAGGACTATCCGCTTGCGCCGCCGAAGATGAAGTTCGTCACGGATGTTTGGCATCCTAATGGTACGTAGAAGTATTGGAAGATGGATGTGGATGCTAACACAATTCCAGTCTATGCGAACGGCGAAGTGTGTATATCGATCCTGCACCCCCCCGGCGACGACCCGCATCAGTACGAACAGGCGAGCGAGCGGTGGTCGCCGATTCAGAGCGTCGAGAAGATTCTGATCAGTGTGATGAGCATGCTGGCGGAGCCGAATGATGAGAGTCCGGCGAATGTGGATGCCGCGCGGATGTGGAGGGAGAAGAGGGCCGAGTATGAGAAGATTGTGCGGCAGAATGTTAGGAAGAGTTTGGGGCTGTGAGGGAGGAGACACGGATAGATGGCTTGTAGGATGGATGGACATGATTCACGACTCAGAGCATACTAGGCGTTTGGGTCATAGCGAGGCGCAATAAATCAGACACGGAATGATAGGAAGATATTCGATTATCGCTGGCTTAGTGATGCAATTATAACGCAACGCTCCATCTATCATGCCAAATCCTAGACGATATTAAGATCACACACCTCTCCGTATGCATTATACCCTACGCCTCGGTAGTTCCACTCGCACGTCTGCTCCTGCGTATTACCACTCCTGTCTGTCGCACGACTCCAGATCTTGTCGTGTTTGCCTTTTTCCACCTTGACGTTCGCTTTCCACAGACACCACGCCCACCTCAGCTCGGCGTGGTCACCCTTGTAATCTCGAATGAGCTCGGCATCACTCCAGGTATGACCTCCGTCGACGCTGACTTCGACTTTGACTATGGGTCCATCCGCGCCGCTCGGTAGAGCATATCCCCTGACTTCAATCGTGCCATCATCACCGCGCTTCACTGTTGAGCCTGAAGATGGCATCCCGATCACACTGTTGACGGGCATATCTTGTATCGCGGGCACTTTCCCCCACCACTCCTCCGCCTTCTCTTTTGTGTCAGCTTCCGGCGGCAGGATCTTGTAGTCGTGTTGCTGGTAATAGCTCTCCGACTCCTTCATCTGCACAGTGATCTTATCCAACCACTTCACACTCCTCGCTCCAGCAATACCAGGAGTGACGACACGCACCGGCGCACCGTGATTCGGCGTAAGTGGCTTATCATTCATCTCCAGCGCCAGCATGATCGAGCTCTCACGATCCATCGCGCGAGCCAGCGGAATCGACGCGCCGTAGAACTTGTCATCCTGCGTTTCCGTCTGGTAGCATGCAAATGCTACATGTGCGTCTTTCCACTTATCTCCCTCGACTTTGACTCCAGCTTTCTTTAGCACATCAGCTAGCAGTGGTCCCGTCCATTTGCAGTTCATGACCGCGCCGTCGAACCAGTCTATCCCGCAGACTTCCTTCAACTTGGTCCGCATGGTGTGTCTGCGATTTCCCGCGCATTGCAGCGCGCATACAACGTTATGCTGCGGTAAAGCCTTCAGATCCTTCACCGACAACTCGAGGTCTTTCCGGACGAGTCCGTCGACGAAGACTCTGTGCGTATCGACATCGAGGTACGGAATCGGGCCATGATTACGGTCATATCCCTCGGTCGTAATAAAACTGTCGCATATCACATCAGCAAACCACCCTACATGCACACCTCACAAAATCCGGCCTTGTCTCACCTCGAAACCAACTTCCCCAGCTCCGGCTCGCGATTCAGCGGCTTCTCCACCGAGTACTCGACCTATGACATCATTAGCACAAACAAAACACACTACCTCATTGGGCGCATATAGCTAAATATGGGCGTGTGCGTACCTGAACCATGGTTTGGGTGGACATCGAACGTGGTATGGCGGCGATGGCGTGATTGAGTGATGGAAGGGCTAGACGGGTTTTTATGGAGGGGCGCTTCGGGAAGTGCAGGTTTAAGCGGGTGCGGGGTATCGTCGGTGGTATCAGGGGGCAGGCGCACGTGGGGAGCGTGGAGGGCAGGTGCGCCGGGTAGGTGCGGGCTTGGGCGAGGCGTGAAGTCATGATGGGGTGCTATTGGCACAGGCGAGCCCGTGGATGTGGTTTGGACGTGTGTTATCGCTGACGTTTGATGTTTGTTGGATTGCGACATTGAGGGAGTGCTGGCGATGATGTCGTGGTGAAATGAGAGATGGCATTTGTGAGGTTGGCGTTTGATGGACGTGTTCATGGAGAGGATTCGTTTGAATGATGATGGGATGGTACGTATTGGCTTCCATGATCGTATATACCAAGCAAACTTCCTTTCAGCGCATTTACATCTCTACACAAGCCCATCGCCCTTCCCCCTCCCATCCCCAGTTCCACAATCCTTCGCCCCAACAACCTCTTCATACTCCGGCAAACCATCCTCATCCCTGCCATCTCCTTCACCTTCACCCCCCTCCCAATCCCCCTCAACACCGTCCACCAACCCCACCCCCTCCTCACCAAACCCCTCCCTCTCCATCGCCCACCCAATTCCCCCCTTCACCCCCTCGAAAACCGTGAACAAGCCCACTAAGACACCAAAAACCGGCATAACCGGCACCCAAACCGTGCCCTCCCCCTTCTCTGTCGATAATATATTCCTCAATCCCCTTCCCCATCTGCTCAGCAAACAATCCACCAACGTGCGCAAAAACGCACACGTCGCACACGCCAGCGGAAACACATTAAGTATCCAAATCGCAGGCCAAAACGGGCCCGCGACCCACTCTCTACACGCACTCGTGCGCCGCGCATAGGCTTGTGCGTTTACGATGCGCAGAACGAAGCATGTGAGCAGGAGGGGGTACAGGAGACATGCGATGGCCAGGCGGGTGGCGCGGGTGTGTAGCGTGGCGTAGGGGCGGTCAGCAGCGCCTGAGAAATTCTTGTGCGCGGTGATTTCGAGAACGACAGTGAGGAAGAGAATGGAGAGTGTGAACAGGATGGGGCCGGTGGGGAAGGCGGTGTATGTGTCGAAGAGGTTGTAGCGGCACTCGAATTCGGTAGGCATGGTGGAGATGTGGTCGATGTGTGTGTGTGGGTAGGCACGAGGATGGTTTGGAGAGTGAGGCGTGGAAAAGGGTGTTGTGTAGATATGTATGTGCGGTGCAGGCTGACAAGACAGGTCGTGCTGATGTGGTGGTGCGGTGGTGGGCCTTATCATGGCGGAGTATGAAGCTTCAGCTTCAGCCTCACAAGGCAGATCATTAGAATAGAATGATCGACGTGTAAGATCTGATCAGCACTAAAAATCTCACGTGCGGTGAGAAGACTAGTCAGGCATACAGTAAGTGTCCTGTCCTGCATTCCTCGCACATCGCTTGAATTGAAACTAGACTATCATCGCACATTAACCAAACACCTCAATCATAAACCTATACTCAATCTTCCTCCCCTCATTCCTCGCCTTTGCAGTCATCTGACTACACTGATCCGCCAACTGCTGACCGATAACCGGCGGTCCGCAGAAGAACACCCCAATCTTGACTTCATCATCGACCATACTCGTTCTTCGAATCTTGCTCATCCGCCGTCCTCCATTGGGCTTCTCGTTGGTCGATGATGTCTTCTCCGCAAGCACTTTGCACATATCGCTGTAGTGTTGCTCCATGATACCTCGGATATCCGGTCGACCAAAGTGCGTGGGATTAACGAGACCAGTGATAGGCGAGTAGGGGTGGTCATCTGTGCGATGTTTCTCCAGTAGCCATCGAAAGACATGTTGGGAGATGTTCTTCCGTTTTTGCGTTACGTATGTTTGAACGCGGATATCAAGGTGTGAACTGTCCAGATCCTGGGCGCGGGACACTTCGTTGAGGAGATCGGAAAACCACATAAGATTGTTCCTGTCGCGGACCATCCAATGGAAGTCGACACGTCGGTGATCTTCATACGGGGAAGTCTTGACTGATGTGCTATCGGAGGACTCAGGTGATTGGTCGGCAGTTCTGCTGCGTTCGAGTTCATGGTATTGTAGGTCGGTTAGGACACCAGAGAACGGCGTTACACCAATGCCGGCACTACGTATTGTTAGATCGAGTACGTCGTGTATTACAGGGTTGCTTACCCAAAGACCATGCTGTATTCAAAGTCATAGAATCGCTGTGCTGGTGCGCCAAAGGGTCCATCAAGGCCAATCTTGATCTTCGATTTCTTCTCCTTCTGTGCCAAGTCGCGCAGCTGGTTAGTCCAGTCGCCATCGGCCTTGATGTGGACTTGCATGCGATTGTTGATACATGTCGATACTGTGAAAGGGGTGCCACTGGAACCTCGAGAGTTGCGGAACCTGGACGAAAACATATTGGCCAGCCTTGTAATCCCACGGACGTGTCTTGGGAACTTCAGCTGTAATTACAACAGTCTCCTTGTCGAGAAGTTCAAGATCAGCTTCGATTGGACGGAACCCTGAGATGGTGCGCCAACTGCGTTCGAAGATGACAAGTAGCGTAGGAAAGGCGAGCCAGTATCCGAACATTGGCCATTGAAGAAGTCCAGCGGTACCGTGCGCCATCATTAGACCAATGATAGGGAACATGAGAAGATGGCCAAGTTGAAAGACCTCGTAGCTCCACTTTCGAACCTGAGGCATGCTCATGGCGGTGAGCAAGTAGAAACAGCTGAGAGCAGTCAGACCGCTCCAGCCTGGCAGCGACCGCACGTAGTCGACATATCGCCTTGGGACCATGTCCTGTCCGATCACATTGGCGACGGCATTCTGCCTGCTAGCCATGCTGCCAAAGACGAAAGAGCCACTCAGATGGCCGATAGCGTGCAGGGTAGCAAAGAAAAGAGCGGCAATCGACATCTTGATGTGAAAGGACTGCGAAAGATCCCAGTTGACGAAGCGTGAGATGAAGTAGAATCTCCTGAGGAACGTCGCAAGCCATCGGGACATGGAGAGAATCAGGAAAAAGAATGTCGGGTAGAGTACTCCCGCGCATGTTTTCGCCAGAACTGCGCCCCATCCGAACGCTGGTGTGTACTGTGGTGATGTAAGGTATTTGACGAATTGCCAGACTCCAAAGGCGGTCATGAAAGACCCAACCAGTGCCATAAATGCAATCTCGGGCCCTTTGACAGCCCAGTACGCGCGTGCTCGTCGGTAGATTGACATCTGCTTGAGGTAATCATCCTCCTCTTTTGCTTCCTTTCGATCCTGTTCTAGCGATGGAATTTCCCACTTCTTCACGCATTCGGCGAATTGATCGCGTTTGATGCGATCTTCTCGTGTGCCAATGACACTTCGCAGAAATTCGTGTCGATCTTCGTCATCTCTTGATGCATGATGAAGGTGATGTGGTTGAGCTTTCGGTGCTATCTCCTTGTGTACCTTGTCGAGCATGCGCTCCAACTCCCAGTAGTCGATAGTTCCATTGCTGTCGTGGTCTAGGTCGTCAATGAATTTCTTGATCTCTTCGTCGGTGAGGTACTGCTGCTGAGCCATGTGAGCAGTGGATGTTTCCAAGGGAAATGATCGTCACGTCAGATGTGCCACATGTGGCTTATCGCGACCTTTTAAGTAATCCTGTCATTATCACAAATAGTGCGACGCAAGTTCTAGGCTTTACGTGCGCCCAGATGTAGGCGTTGGCATCAAGGGCCAAATGAAGTAAGGCGGCGCCAAGTTACAGCAATTAACGAATGATTCCAAGAGGACAAGACTCCCTCGTCGGAGAAGCTGCCGGCGGAACCATGCGGATCTAGTTGTCAGGCGGAAAGTTGCCCTTCACCAGGTTTCCGCTCTAAGACGAGATGCCAAGAGCATTCCGCCCATCGAGCTGCACATGTCAATCTGGCGGAAGAGTGAAGGACTCAGTACCACGTTGATTGGCATTTGGCATTCGTTTATTTCACCCACTGATAGGACCAAATATCATCACTGCACACATGTCTCTCTAGACATGGATGCATCAATCGAATGCTGATGAGAATACATACAAGTTTTGTTGAGATGGGCTGGGAGAGAATGGTGATGAGGTCGGAACTCGGCACAATGTTATGATTTGGGAAGCCTTGGCAAAATACGTCATCGATTGACCCTAAACTACCCTTGTGCGTGTGTAACGGTGGCTTCCTGAGACAAAGTGAACGTGCGAAAAAGAAATTCAATCACTTCGCATGAACTGGTACCGGGAGACACCTGTTCAACGTGCCTCTACGGGAGAAGCACATGCAGAAAACGTTGCGGGGCCACAGATGTCTAGACCAGCGTCATGGATCGCGATCCGGATGACACGCTAGACACACGTTAAGCCACCATCCGGATCTGTCGTTCCCTCTCTATTGTTCTAGCGAGTCTTATATGGGGCCTGCTCCCTGTTCTTAGAATGTCGATTCAATCCCCACTCGCGCTCAGCCTTAGCACAAGTTCTCGAAAAATTGCAGCGTAATGTTCGAGACTCTGGACCGGACGCAGTATGTTGCCAAAGACGGTGGCTCCATCGTCGTTACCGACCGCCATGACCGCAGTCAATACATGGCGGTGCTGCACTTCATAATCCGACGTTTTCGCAACCAGATAAACAGTGGCCATCCAAAGCACGAAGACGGCTCCATCAGACTCGACCCCCCCAAGCCGAAACTCCGCGGTTGCACTCTCTCCCATCGGACCGTCGAAGACATTCATTTGTACGACATCATCGCGTCGCCGACAAAACTGCCCGAGAAGGGCAAGAAGCGTATATACTATTTTGCAGGAGGGAGCTGGCAGATGGGACCGTCTGGTCAGCATTGGTCATTATGTGCGAAGCTGGCTACGGACATGCCGGACACTATTGTAACGATGGTGTCGCCACCTATGGCACCGAACAATCCTGCACCGAGCTCTTTTCCATGGATGCTGAGGCTTTATCGGACACTGTTAGCAGAGGCGCAAGAGGCAGGCGACAAAGTTATCTTGGCAGGAGATTCCTCTGGCGCCAACATCATATTGTGTTTGACCCTCGAAGCGCTGAAAGAGGACGCCGAGAAAGGGCTGGATGTTTCGAATGCATCGACATCAAGCGCGCACCCCGTCGCACTCATGGCTATCAGCCCGTCCACCGACCTCACACGAGCCAACCCAGATATAGAGAGGATTGCGCACCACGACCCTCTCCTTACACCAGCCATCATTAGGCAGACAGCGAAGGCATGGACGGGCGACTGGGATCCGGCAGAGCGTCGAGTGTCGCCTATCAATGCGGATGTATCACTACTTGCACAGCGCGGTATCAAGGTACATGGCGTGACCGCTGGCTGCGATGTCCTGGCGCCTGACGGGGTTATGTTCCGCAACAAACTGTCCGAGAAAAACGTACAGGGCGAGTGGCTGCATTGGGAGAAGCAGATGCATTGCTTCGTGCTCACGCTACCGTATGGCCTGCGCGAAGCACGGGAGGGCACCGAGTGGATAATCGATGTATTGAAGAAGGTTTGAATTGTTTTTTTTTCGATTCTCACTTTGTCGCTGGATACCCTGTCATTATTTTCGGAACTCGTCTATTAGCCCATGAAGCCTTCAGCAGTGACATGGTTAGAGCTTAATCTCATAATAGTCTCATTCTTACGAACTAGCAGTACTCACAGTGCTTGCAGTGATGACTTGCTCGATGTTGTCGTTGAAGCCTCAAGGCGAATCACATTAGTACGCGTCTAGCTTTTCTCCAAGGGCGGTTGTCCTTTGCTTACGAGTGCCATCTTTGAACAGCACTACCTTCTCTGCATTTCCTCATACTCTTCCTGGCCTTTGCGTAGTATCGATTCTTCATTTGTCCCGGCACAATGTCATCAACGCTGAGGCAGAGCTACGATTCACTGCACATCTATGTTAGGCGAGGCAGCAGAGGTGCATAGGTAGTTGCATTTTCACTTCACTCAACTCCCTCTCTCCCATAAACAATATCCAGGACCTTCTCACACAGTCAGTCTTCTTTACAACTTGCCTCACCCTCACCCTCAACCTCAACTCCGAATTATTACGAAGACTTCCTCCTTACACACTCAAAACCAAACATCACATCCACAATGTCAGATAACATGGATCATACGCACAATCCATGCGCTCATGCCTTGGTCCGCATTTCGTCTGACATCAACCTTCCGCAGATCGCTCACGCCGTAGAGGACACACAGATGCAAGACGCACCAGTCATCACCCCCAAGCCGCAACGCACACTCGAAGAAGAGAAGTGCCATAGACTATGGCGGCACGTCCAGAAAGTGCAGCAAGCCTTCAACACCCAGCCCTACACCGGCGAGTACCACCACGGCCCCAAGACCCGACTCCTCTTCGCAAAGGGCATTAACTCCGCCACAGACCTCCTTAATCTCGAAGCCCTATCTCTCGTCATTTGCAACGATCGTCCAGACATCGAATCCACCTTGCTCGAGCCGCTCGCTCAAGTCCACAAGCCCATCTTGCGCTTGCACTGCATGGGAACGATTCGCCGCAAGGACCACGATATCTGTGCTGTCTCGCTAATAGAGGCGTTCCTGAATGACTTGGAAGGCATGCACACGCTTAGGATGGGTGAGATTGCAGTTTCGTGGGATCATCGGTCCGAGTACGCTAAGCGTAAGGACACTGATGGACCGGCTTCGCTTTCGCTGATGGGCGATGTCTATCAGCTGCCTAATGTCACGCCCCAGGACTTTAATCGGCGCAGCGTCATCCGACCTACTGCAGGTGGTGGTAATAACTTTGCGAACTTCTTTGAAGCACCGGTTAATCCGTCGCGTCCCCGCATCGTTACTGCCAAGACGGATGATGGACTGCGCGGGATTGTGAGACTGGAGGCTTGTCAGATGGGGGTGGCGACGGTGCCGGAACTGGTCTTGGCTGTAAGCCGGATCATGAAGGGTAAGCTGCTGCCGTATATGTTTGAGGATCCGTTCTATGTGGAGTGCGGCTTTGGGAAGGTGGAGTGGATGGAGGTTGTTGCAGAGTTAGGACATAGCGAAGAGGAGGGTTGAAGCTAGACGTGACTTAGCTGCGTTAATATAGCAGGTGTCTCGACTTCAGTGACTGTTATGAAGGGTGAAAGAACAGACTGTCGCGTCAACGTCGTTTAGCATATTGCTCATACCCAATTCAAATGTACTTAATCCGACTACTTCAAAAGTATAATGCAGTGCGATTGCCCTACTCATTCCCCACCCCAGCCCAATCCGGGACCGCCTTCTTAACCCCAAACCTCTTCCCCAAAATAACAAACTGTCCCACAAGAATCATCTGCCCAAACGCACTCCTATCCCCCTCCATAATCGCCCTCTCCACCAACCCCTCACACCTCCCCCACTCCAACCACCCCAACTCCTCAACATTCTCCTTTGTAATTAGCCGTTCAAAAAGCTCATACACCGCGCCCCCTTCCTTATACCTTACCGGCGCCGAAAACGGGTGTTTCTTCCTCTCATACAATTCCTGGGTGATGTATGGCTTCACAGCTTCTTTCAGGATCCACTTCTCGCTGAACGAGCCGGTTATGGGATCGAAGCGGATTTTCATAGAAGGAGGTAGAGACATGGCGTACTCGGTCAGTCGATGGTCGAGGAAAGGCTGGCGGCCCTCAACGCTATGTGCCATTTCGCAGCGGTCACCGAGGACGGTTAGTAGGCCTTTTGCAAGCGCGCATTTGGTCCATATGTACAGCGATGTGTGCAACGGGTGCCATTTGAGATTCATGCAGTCGCGCGTGAGGCCGTCGAGGGCGTGGACGGCGGTGAGGCGCTTGTCGCTCGTGCCGAATTCAGTAGATGTCCAGGGGCTGAGGAGGGGTTCGTCCAGCGCGAAGTATTGCGTGAAGCCGAGGAAGGAGGTGTTGTTGACTTGACGGCGAACTGAAGCTGCAGTGTTGGGCTCGTTGGGATGGGATGATGTAGCTGTTTCCAAGTCTGCGATGGCGCGCAGGCGGTCAGCTTCGGAGAGGGTGGATGATGGCCATGAAGGATCTGGCTCGCGAACGAAGTCCTTCACGAGTTCGCGGTAGCCACCAAAGTGTTCATCAGACCCTTCGCCTGTGAGAACGACTTTGATACCGGCGTCGCGGGTGAGTCTGGACAGCATGAATTTTCCGACAGTGCCGAGATCTTTGACCGCGGTTTCGTTGTGCCACACTGCGTCTTCAATGTTGGCGGCGAACCTTTCCTCAGTCATTTCGACATGGTGCATCTTGACGCCTAGCCACTTTGCAGTTCTGCGCGCGATGGCTGGACGACATTGTCAGCAATTGCGTGATTTGGTTCCGGAGACTGTCTTACGCTCTTCGTCATGTTCTTCGCCGATGAACTTGACGCTGAAACAGTTGATGGCTTCAGATGCTGGTGCTGTGCCTAGCGACGTGCCTTCGGTTTTCATGAGGTGCGTTACCATGCCGGCTATCGCACTGGAATCGATGCCACCGCTGAGAAAGACACCGATCGGTACGTCCGCGCGTAGTCGATCTCGGATTGCCTCAAAGAGTCGGTCGCGTACACCTTGAATCATCTCGTCCTCCGTGCGTGTTTCCACTTCGCGCTGTTTCTGGTTAAGGAAACTTCATACGTGGTAAAGAGGCGGCCGCTTTACCTTGTCTTTAAAGTCAAGATCCCAGTACTTGTGCTGAGAAACTGTACTGAAAGAGGTCAAGATAAGGTAGTGGCCAGGATTGATGGACTTCACGTCCTTGAACAGTGTTCTTCGATCGCACAGCCAGCCAACATCTTTGATGCTTTGCACATCCCATTCTGCTTGCCATCCGAAGGGAAGAAACGCCTTAATTTCAGAGGCAATCTAGTACATCTTGTAAGTTGTTTAATCACCAGCAGGTAATAAAAATACTACTTACGAGCAGATTGCCTTCATGAACTGTGTAGTACAGTGGTTTGATCGCATACCGATCGCACGCTGCGAAGAAAATCTGTGCTTTGGAGTCATAGAGACAGAGCGAGAACTCTCCACGGAGATGCGAGAGAAATGAAACCCCGTACTCTTTATACAAGAATATGGCAATTTCCGAATCGCACTTGCTGCGAAACTTGTAGCCCTTTGCACTGAGCTGTTCTCGGACCTCGTTATAGCCATATAGCTCGCCGTTGACGACGGCGTGCACATCGCCTTCTGGATCATGGAATGGCTGCTCTGCTTCCGGGTTCAGATCGACAATGGCAAGGCGGTTGTGACCAAGAGCTGTATCATGTTAGTCACGTGCTTCTAGCATAATAGGAGCTTAATCATACCAACTCGCCCATTTTCACTGATCCAATCTCCGTTAGAATCCGGCCCACGGTGTTTGATCGTATCTAGGCTGTCATTGATCGTTTTACTCAGCGTTGAGCGGTCTTTGTAAAGAGGCCGATGGGCCCCGCAAGGTGACCACAGAGCTAATTCCACACATCGTTGAGAAAGGCAATGAACAGAAGGATCGAAGAAAGACCCGGAATTCATTCTTGAAGATAAACTAAAGTTTCTGCTAGATTGATATCGTAGTTCTAGTAGTTCAGCGGACCATCAGCCATCGTCATCGTCGTGTTCGCCGCCGATCCCCCCACGATAAGCATCTTTGTGCTATTCCGCTTTGGACTGGCGCGAGCGCGATTACAGATCTCTCGGGGAATGAGCAACTCAAAACTTGCCATCTCTTTCATATACGGCCGGGGAAATAGTATTAGCGGAAAGAATACCTAGATGCGCAGTAATCATCGCAAATCGGTTGACAGAAGCTTCAATCGCATTCTTACGAGCAAGTGACTGAAGCCTTTTCTTCAGCTTCGATCATGCAGCAACACGCTACTGGATAAGACCATTCTCCAAGAACAAAGACATCGGACCAGTAGGAACCACACTTGTGCCGGAAAAGTCGACGCCGGCTCACTATTGTTATCGCTTATAGATATCTGTCAAGCTTCCTTCTCAATCAGTATCATATTGAATGATGTGACAACCTATCGAACACGGAATAGATGAAGAGAGCGTGTTGCACTTGTCCTTTCGCACTCGATATTCTTGCGCCGCAGTCCATGCAGCTTTTACTTGACCCAGCCTGGATCAGCGTCCCCTGGCAAACCTCGGGCGTCTCGTTGATAGTTAAGATTGCGAGTGCAGCTAGAGCAAGCCGCTCCGCGCTCGCCATCAAAACGGCTCTCTCTTCGTTCTCTTGCGGACGGTTTGAATCTAGCAAAAGATGCCATCATATATTCGCCCAGCATGCCGTTCTCACTCAAGACCTCATGCATGCTCCGGCCCATACACTGTGGGCTATGTATCTTCTGCTCGTCGCCCGTCAATCGCACCCGCTCATCACTGCAAAGGCCGTCAGGAGTCATGTCCCAAGAAATCACAAGCTTCTGGATGAACGATGGTATGGGCTTCCAAAGTTTCCACATATCGGAATACTTCCGCAGCCTCTTCTCTCTTGCTTGACCGATCGGATCATGTGCGTATGTCAGACCGCCTTCGATGATGAACCGCAAGCGTCTGTAAACTTGAGAAGGACCATTTCTTGAGTAATTGTCTCCAAGGAAGCCCTGGAAGTGAATCGTGAGTGTATTCAACCAAAGACCAAACACCGGATTCAGGTGTCGCAGATTGATGTAGAAGCTCGTTAATGACATCGCAAGCTGACAAGAAGCACTAGGAAGCACTAGCACCAGTTCTTTGAAGGTCCTGAAGCCGTAGTTGTATCCTACAGGCGGAGCGGGCGGAAGGAAGACGCGGACCTCGAATTCGCACTGAGTAACTACACTTCGTACGAACGTGGTGATCCACGATGTGAAGCTTCTGATCGCAACTTGCTCGCATTCGAGTTTCGCTTGCCTGCAGCATAGTATGAGTCCATGACACTGTTCGTTGCTGATAGGTGGAAAGTCTAAGCATTCGAAGATCGCGACGCGTAATTCAGCTGGTAGCCTGAAGAGAGGGGATGACAATTGCGATACAGGAACATGTCCTCCAGAAGACATGGGATTGTAGGTGACGGAAGCTTGCATCGTTGTCGCAGTTCCTGCGGACTAGCTGGTGGTGTTCGACGTTCTGGAGATGGAGTGAGATGGCCATGCCCCTCACAGAACTCTTTGCTGTTGCCTGATTGCGGCCCCCGTTCGTCGGCTGTCAAATACGCCTGCATATGCATGTCCGAGGCGCACAACATCCAGCTTGCAGCGCTCGCGTGCGCTTTACAGAGGTAGATGCAGCACTGTGATGGATCAGAGTGAACTCATTTCTCGTTGCAAGGCATCAACAACCGGCCCTTTCTTTGATCTCCCTGACCGAGTTCTGCTTGGCTGGTATAGCATACGCGTCCAACGACTCTGGGGTTGCCAGTTGGCATTCGGAGATTCTTTGGAGAGCTGCGCCTCCAACACGCGCAAAGCTCCGAGGCAAGTACCGGTATGTAATGCTACAGTTGGTGATCGAGTTCGATGGATCTTGATCCTGACTTGGTCCTGAAATAATGATGGCTTTAGGCTCAGGAGCCTCGACGGCGGCAGTATCTTCGGGCGATGACCGAGCAAGTGAGGCGCCCTGTCTGAGGAGACTACACATTACAGAAGGTCATGCTGCACTGGTCGCCGTGGTGGTTGCCTTACCAAGTAGCTGAGTGGGGTTGGTGGGTCAGTCCCATGCAATGAAGCTGCGTCGCAACTGATCGACAAAGCATTCAAGGCTTGTGTGTCGGAAATCTTGTGCCACCACTCTCCCTGACTGCCTAGGGGGCCTAAGACTGAAAGGACACCGAGTCAAGATTTGCTTACTCCCCGGACTGTGCCTGCGCAATAAAAATGCGAAGTCCCACCGCGATTATCCCGTCAGCCTGGACAAAAAGAATATGGGACCGTCCATCGCGCGATCTAGGTCAAAAGGATTGATGCAGTCCTGCACTCCGCCTTGGTAACGATTCCAGATTGTTCTTACCAAGGATGTGGTACTTCTAGGCCCTGCGAATGGCGCGGCTTTGGCAGCTGTGAGCCGTGCCAACCAACACCGGAAAAACGATGATGCGATTCGCTGCGCATACGCCGAACGCACCACCAACACTGGATTTGGGAACCTTGCGCCGTCCATCAGTACACAATTGCATCTCATCGTCAAAGAGGAGTTGTTCAATTCCTGCTGTAAAACGACCAGCGGCTGCAGTTGTTTGCTCCTTGTTGGTCACCTCTACCTCTCTGGTGTCGTGTGCGCACTCGACAAACCCCTATAATATGTGCTGGAATCCTACGCACTGCATGGCTAGCACGGCCTGGGGGGCGCCCACTCACCGGTCTTGTGAATTACCGTTTAGGTATACAGAAGCGGGCTGTACCTAGAAGCGCGGCCCCGCAACGGCGCAGTCCTGGTTTCATCACTCTTCCAACGCAATCAAAGACACAAAGAGGGTATGACAATGGCACAGATGTAGTACTGTACGTTACCTGTCCCAGAAAACTCATTGTCCATCATTTTTGCGACAACGAACTGATCGCGAGACGAAGACAGGGGAAGAGAGCCAGTGTTTCTGGAAGCGATGGATGTGTCCACCCGGCAGCTCGTGTGCACGTGCCGTCCTGCCATTTCGGCAAAGCTGCGTGTCATTAGGGTGAATAATAGCGCAACTCCAAGACGCGAAGCCTGTCCGAGGCTTGTTATGCAGGGGCCCGCCAGGTCAAATTAGACCCTCCGCCTGGGGCTGAGCTACCACGGTCCGGCCGCCTGTCAAAGACATCCAAACACGAGCAAGCTGGCAGCGCCAGCTTCAAGGGGGCGTGGTCTTCAAGAAGGCTTATTGGCTCTCATAGCAGACCCCGTTGAGCGAAGGACCGTTGCTGCCGTGGCTTAGCGCAGTCAACCTAGCACATGTATTTCGGATCCGTAGCGGGCATGGGCCTGCCTGGTCAGATCCTTTTTATATGTGCACGCGACACCCGCGTCGCGCTGTAAGCTGGTCTATGGCTCCTTTCCGCGTGTGCTCTGTAGTATCGTTGGACTCGCGATACATGAAAAACCATTGCTAATACCTCTCGCCTGCTTTGGCCCGACTTTCCTTATTTTTGATTCTGCTTTGGTGCTTCAACATTACGACTCACGATAGTTACGGTCAACACTAGAACCGCTGCTATGCAGCTCAACATCCTCGCGCCTCTCGAGGCTCTATCAAGAACCAAGAATCAGTTTGCTCTTTTCTTTGTTGCCTTCTTCGTCGCCAAACTTCTGCATCTGGGTAGCCATTTTGGATCTTTACCCATCGTCCTTTACCTGCTGTACACACCAACATTTTTCCTTCCCGATGTCCTCCTCCTTGTCGGCAGCAAAGTGCTTGTCTACCGACACAACGGAGGACAATCTTCCGCATTCAGAAAATTCTTTGGGGCCATACTAGCGTAAGTTCAGAAAGCAGTTTAACACATGTTACCAGATTCACTGACTGCTGCGCATGTAGACTCTCCACCGCAGCATGTTCAGCATCACAGATATCCTTCTTTATCGAGACCGGAGGGGAGATTCAGTGGATGGCGGCTAGCCGAGTTCTCGGTGGCACTGGTGGAATGGGCCTTTTATTGTCTGGCCTGCCCGCTATGATAGTAGCATTCATGGTACTTTATGCCGTTGCGCTCCTCATCTCACCGATCTTCTACGACGCAGTCGACCATGTTCTGGGGCACCTAAGATGGTCTTTCAAACAAAGCTTCCTTGTTCTGACAAGAAGGCAAAGGGATACTGAGAACTATGAGCTTTTAATCTCCATACAGGATAACCAGTCCCAGTCTTCGGAAGACGATGAACAGTCCGAAGAGAAGCCGACTTCCAGCAAACGTCGACCAAGCATGTTGAATGCTTTAGCGACCGCCATCACTACGATCGGTCTTAGCATTCTCGTCATGGTGCTTCAAACGGTCAGGCCTACTTCACCTCCTTATGCGCACATGTCAGGCTCCCTCCCTGTCACGATCATCGAGGCAGCTCTCTTCCAACCCATCAATTCAGAGTTCTGCCTACCGCACCCTGTAGAAGATGTCCTCTTTCCGTTTGAGCGATTTACGAAATTCTTCGAGATCCCAGAGTCTTTAGATTGGATGCCCAATGGACCAAACTGCCTCAGGGATAACCGTCCAGAGTCACCTGTATGGATGGAACATCCTGGACAAAACGATCGCAACGACCACCATCGTCCTAGAGTGCCACCGCATGGAGGACCAGGCCCTCGCATAGTCAGATGAA